CTACTTGGTTTCGTAATAGCAGTAGATTTTCAAACGGCATAAGTTAAAATAATAAGAAGATCATAATCAGCAGATTCTAACAAAAGACTGATGTTGTCACCTGCTGATAATCTAGAGAGAGACCTGCTGATTCAAACAAACCTGAAAGGCCTGATGTAGGCATGATTGGCAAGTGTTGAAAAGTCAGTCAGGCTCTTTTTGACGCAGTTAGTATCATAGCTTCATGTAGAGTTCCAGGGGTTGTAACCCAGTTAATATACTTTAAGGTTCCAATAAGCCATTAAAGCACGAGAGTTGATAAGTTGTTTTGTATTATTTTAAGTCTCACTAGATGCAAAGAATATGTTTTACTTGAATTTTTACATTTTCTTATTTTATCTTGTGACCACAGTGAATTGGATTGGATTGGCTTATTTATGGCAAAGCACATGAGGGCTATCTGCCTAAGGAGGGATGCCTCATGGGGACTTTCTAAGGGAAACTTGCTTGTATAACGTTACACAGGGGTCCACAAAAGCCAGAGCCGCCTGTTCAGGGATTCGAACCTCGGACCGAATACCAGTTCGCGTCTTACCACCGGCCACTGGGGGCCTGACCGCAGTGAGTATTATGAAAGGCAAAACGCTTTAATATGTAGAGAAAAATTTTTAAGTGTAAATAGTTAGTTATCAATAATTAAATTAGGTAGGTTAATAAACTTATTCATTATGGATTTACATGGCCACTATTAAATTTATTTTTAACAATATTTGTTAAAAAAGCCCTATCAAAATCAAAATCTAATAAAAGTTCACAGTTTAAAATGCATGTAATTTATGATTGATTCTTAAACGATATTAAGATAATTAACATTAAAGCTACAAAACATTTGTTTTGTAAAACAACAACACTCAACAAAATATTATCCGTCATTTTTTTAATTGAAGCCTTCCCAGACATTTTGGCTAGTTATATCGATTTCCTTCTTTAATCATCTTTTCTAACAATGAGAGATTGTTCAAAGATGCAGAAACCAAGCTCTGCGAGTTTCCGCCTGCTTTATCTCCTAACCTGTCAACCTCTCCACAAGTACCTATGAGGGTTATTTGATCTGGTAAAAGTTAAATAGTCCACACCCCTCGACAAACGTGAAGCATATTATGCTATGTCTGAAAGTAACTGCAATATCAGACAAAGGTTTAAATAAGCCTCTTATTTAAAAAAACTTAAAAATAAGGCATGTTGAGGCTAACAAATCAATTACAGCACAATGACGTAATTAAACAGGAACAGTCAAATTCAAACTAAAAATGTGGACTAGTGGTCAAAGATTATACAATTTAGTTTTAATTTAACCCTCTAAATGGCAAGGCCATATATATACGACCTAGAATATTTTTGTCATATCTGTAAGAATGTATATATACGTGCATATTAAAATATGCCAAAGAAATTGAGGCAATATATCAAAAGTACACAAATCCAGGTATGTAATACCAAGAGAATTTTTACATTAAAATCAAAAACATAATTTATTCTCATAGTAGTTTTGGGAAATTTGTGCTTTCTTAGCGAAAACACTGGCCGCTCTGAGGGTTGGCTCAGTAACTTTATCATATGAGGAAATAGAAATAGGAAATTATAGTAAAGTCTGAAATCATAAATAATTGGGTAATTTATGTAATAATAACTGCACATATCTTTGAAGAATAACTTTCTTTATGTATTTAGTTTCTTTCTTCAATACGTTTCCTTTTATTTAGAATTTTTTTGATTTAATTAAGATTTCTTTATTCTAAAAACACTAAATGCATCTAGAACGTACAGAAAAAGCGGCTAATTTTATTTCTTTAGTAATATGAATATTCAGAAGAAATATGAAATATATATGGTAAAGCCCAGTTACAGAGCTGATATGGCAGAATTTTTAGAATTCAATGACACATCGAACAACAAAATCTATAAATGGCAAAACTTTTAGAATTTAGAGCTGACATTGGATGCATTTAGAAAGGCATTAGGCAACAGAATTTAGGATCCACAGAGATTGCATCAAGTGGGAAAATGCCTAGTGCCAGCTATGAGTATGATGCTTAAGACATATTAAATTAATCTTTTAAATTGCAAGTTTTCAATTTTTTTATTAATAAAAAATCCCTTTCTATAATGCCTGCCCATGTGATAAGATTAGAAGCATTTTCGATATTTTCCATGCTTGTGTCAAGTGAAAAGTAGAGAAAATAAAGGGAAGATTTAACATTCTAGTATTAGAAGTAAAACATTTGCTTTTGCTAAGAGCTGTTTCGTAAATTGTGCCTTATAGTATTATTTTTCAGATTCAAAATATTGTATAATAAGTTGCCAAAATGAAACTTTATAATAGATAGCGAAAAATAAAAAATTTTTAATGTTATTTTAAATATAATTTCAATATATTACAATTATTTTAATGAAATTTATCAATGTTACGATGTTTAAAAAAAAATCGTCGAAAATTCTCAGATCTCGGAATTAAAAATTTTCTATAGAAGCTGATCTAAAATCGCCAAAATGTGATAAGTTGCCAAATTTAGAACCGTTTAATAAAAGAATCACATCCCCAAAGCGAAAAGTTGTTTAAGGGATCTTTATTAGAAAAAAACGAATTTCGAAATGCTTATTTCACTTCTGCTTAGAACCTCGAGTATCCCATCACTCTATATTAGAAATAGAAACAATTATAACCCATGAACCATTCAAATGATAATCAGTGAATCGCCAAAAATATTCCTTCAAAATGCTAATTCACATCAAATGGCAGTCGTTAAAAACAGACGAATTCAGATGATTAAAATTAAGGACCTTCTGCTGATTTTGGCCAAAATTAAGGACTTTTTAGGACCAAAAATGGATTCCAAAAAAACTAAGGACTTTTAAGGATTCTTAAGGACCGTACGAAATCTGAAAATTACAATAAGTAATTACACTTCAAAACTACTACGAACATTACACACAACACATCTAAAGAGCAAAGCTACAATATACTCCAATATCTCAATACTCCGAATTCAGCTCTGAACTGAGAGCAAATGCTCTCTCCGGTCTTTTACAGTTTTCACCCGACTATTCAGAAATCTAATAAATTACATTTCTTGAAATTACTGGAAGGCATATACAGTTAAAGTTACATCAAAAGCTGGATATGGTTACAGTTACATATAGTGATCCATTACAGTTACACAGGGACCTGGCCAAAATTTTACCAAATGGTTGCCAAGTTTGGTGACAAAAATTAGTCACAAGAACCAGCTTGGCGATATCTCGACAATTTAGCGAGAAAGCCATTTACTCAGTACTAAACAGACTTGGCCTTGTATTCCTATTTTTCTACCAAACTCTTTAGATTTTCATGTTACATTATAGAGTGGGAACTACTGTTTCACGTATAATTTTAATAGAATTATTTACATATGCACAAATGTTTTAACAATATTTTACAGAAATAATAAATATAAAATAAAATGTAAAATAGAAATAACCCTATATTAATAGAAAATATTATGATGAGCTCATTCAGAAAGTAAATAGCACAGTTTGGGTATTAAAACAGGTTAGTAATTCCTTTTCATTTGTATTTTATTACACAAAAATCTACACACCTTAAACTACTTTTCAACATATTCAACATGCGAACTACGGTATGTGCTATATTTTGAAACTAATTGCAACACACCTGCTTCATAGAATTCAGCTGCCTGCAGTTTGAAATAGTTCTTGACATCATCACTTGCAAAGGGCTGATATTTCTTGTGATGAGATAACAAATGGAAGTTGAAAGGGCCAATGTCCAGACTATAAGGAGAATGACAGAATTGTTTGTAGAGAAATGAATCAAGCAGCATCATTGTTATGCATGCAGTATGCAGTGATGTGTTGTCATGCATGAATACAGTACCAGAAGTCCATGTCTTTTGTTCTGTACCACTTGCCACAACTTTTTTCAGTGAATCACAGTATGCTAGTTGAAATGAGGTACAGCACTGATTGCTGTACCTTGTTCTCTAACAACTAGTTCAACTAGTTCTCTATCAAAATTCCTTGACAATCCCAAAACAAAGGGCACATGAATTTTCTTGAAGAAATAGGTGGCTTTGCTTTCTTGGGTTTCGAGGAACTAGTATACTACTATTCTAGTGACTATCGTTTCGATTTAGGTGTCTCATAACAAACCCATGTTTCATCTCTTGTGGCAATCTTTTTCAAAAAATCATTTCCTCCTTTCGCATAATGCTGAAAAAGCTCCAAGGCTGCTCCCATACATTTCTGAATATGAATTAGTATACCACTGAATCTGTATTAGTGTTTTTGTTTTCAATACCCATTGCAAACATAATTTTTTGTAGTGCAAATGTTCAGGCATAATTTTGTGCAATAAATATTGTGAAATGTTTTATAAATGCATTGGTAAATCAGATATTGTGAATCGCCTATCGGAACAAACCTTTTCATTGATGCAGAGCTTCAACTCTTCACTGATTAGCGATGGGTTCTCACTGTCCTTCTCGTTAAGGACATTTCCCTTTCCTTCATTAAATATCCTAATCAGTTTTCTCACAATAGTTTCCCTCATCACATTCTCTCCCTAAGTTTCACTTATCTGACAATAAATTTCACAAAGTCGAACATTTGTTGTATTCAGAGGCTTGATAACAGATTTTATTTCACACCTGCTGGGTTGATACATTGTTTTAACATGATTACCAACAAACAATGATTACAAATGTTAAACATAAACAAACAAAATGGCTAATTTGTTCTTGAATTGAATGTGCGATGTTGCTTTCATGTTGTTAGATGCACATTAGATATGTGCAAACAGACTTACTTTTTGGATCAGCTTAGTATATGAGAATTATAAGCCATATGCGGAAAAAGAAATCTTTATTTTTAATAAAGATACAAATGAGATAATTATTAAAGATTCCATGCAATTAATGATTGCAAGCTTGAAATGTCTGAATCTGTTAAATTACACATTGAAAAGGTGTTTGATAAACAATTTATTATTCATACAAAAACCTCACACATTTCTTGTAATGGAGCATATATACATCATTATATACACAGAAAATTAATTTCAGTGACTAATTACAAATATTACATTATCAATTCCTTGAAATTTATTCCTTTAAAAATTTAAGGTTTTCTTAATTTGTTGATGATGCATGAAATAAAGATGATAAAAATTCAGGTTCTGATAATTTCCTATTGTATTTACTAATTGCATCCTGTATTTTCAATTTGCGTCTAACATGTGGTGGTTGGCAGCTGCAGAAAAAAAAATATACTTACATATAATATAATTAATAAAACATAATAACTTTTTATTACAAAAATAAAGTTTCAAAAACAGTAGATAAATTATGATAAAAAATATTTATGACCTGCACTTCAAGAGAAAAAGTAGGTATTTTCAAGAATTTTTCTTGTGTTTTAAATGTGTACACTGCACAAAAAAAATAATGAGACAATTCTATATCTCCCGTTCTACTCGGCCGATTGATGAAATTCAAACTGCGTTTTTTATGTCTTGAAAGCGCGGCTTAGGATATATAATCTAAGTTGCACCTTCGAGACATGATAAAAGAAATTTGAACTTCATTAATTGGCCCAGTAGAATGGGAGATATAGAACTGTCCCATTTTTTCCCCTCAGAGTGTACATGGAATTAATGTAATGAAAATTTACTGCAGTTAACATATAGAGGTACTTGATAGTTTTATATAAATTACTACAGTTACATATTTCATCTTAAAATTATTGGATATGCTGAAAAATTAAAAATGCTATTATAAGTTTGAAATGAACATATGTGAGTATATATACTATATACACACACACACACACACATATATATATATAAGTCAAAAGGTGTCTTTAAAAAAAAAAAAAAAAAAAAAAAAAAAACCACGAAAGAAATAAAGCACTAATGAGACATAAAATTAGCACTAAAAGCTGCTAAATTTGATATTTGACATGCATACATATATTATACTTAAACCTACGAAAAAATTATTTCTAGCATCAAAAAACAATAAGGAACTTCAGAAGAATACTAATTCTCAAAGCACTTAAAGATATTGATGGAATAAGAACATTTTAATGGTTTTATATTTATGATTTTAGTACGACCTTCAATTCATTACAATAAATAAATAACCCATGAAAGCCTTTCAATAAATTCAAAATTAGGCCAAAAAAGGGGGGGAAGGCTTAATTGGCACAGATTTTAAATAAAATTCTCTTGATTTCAAAGGGAAACAAACATATATCGTACTTCTTTAGAAGGAAACGTATTAAACAATTTCATGCACTTAATTTTCCCTGAATACTAAAATCATTTAATATACTGAAGGTTTTCTTTCTGAACAAATTTTAATCACATTAAGTTATCTGTTAAGTTAAAAAATAATAATAAAAATATTTTAATTCTAAAATCAATCTATCATTATTATTTTAAAATTTGTTTTCATCTAAATTTCAAGTCTTTGCTATCATGTAACAATAACCACTATTTTTACAGGAGTGTTTATTACCTCCCTCTGTTTTGTATTTTACAGTATCATTTTCTCTTCAAGCATTACAATTACACAGAATTTTTACAAGATAGTTAAATTTTATGGCTTAAGACCATTCGTGGTAATTAAGTGAATTAGAATGCAATCACACCGCTCACCCGAAAATATAGAAAAGGCAAAATCAAAGGTTAAATTTATCAATTCTAATGAGAATGCACTGCAAAGTAAAGCTGGGTTTACAATTTTCTAAGTAAGTTCGAACGAATTCAAATACTTCTTGCATTTAAACTTATATTCCAAATTAAGATTTAACTTGAAATTCATGTAGCTAATTACTGAGAGAATTAGATTTTTGTAGCATAGTTTACGTGAGATGAGATCACTTGGGGTAACGTGATATGAACCGGCAAATTAGGACGATGAACCATGAGAGCATAGTTAATGTCTTTTTACAAATTTATGGTCTTTATTTATTGGCCTTTTACAAAATTTTAAACCATATTAAAATATTTATGCCTTCAAAATAAAAAATCCTTAGAACTAACATTTTTTACGTGTATACTGTATGTCGTCGTCAACAAAGTCTGCTTGGTGAGATTCGCGCCGGCAAAACGGAAAAGTACCAAAAGACCTACTATTCCATTTTGAGGAAGTAAAAAAATGGCAGCAAAAAAATGTGGTGCAAAAGCGCCCACTTATGCGCCAAAGTGCAGAATCACCCACTGCTTTGACGTGTTTTTAAGAATTGCACTCCGCGGTATCCATTAACATCAAACCTATTGTCACTTAAAAAAAATTCCAGAATTGCAAAAAATGGCTCTGTGCACACCCTTGACTTTATATGTACACATCGACCCATTTTCACTTAAAAAGTAAAAAAAATGACAAAAATTCAATTGTTTTTTACCCTTGTAAAAGCGGCAGAAAATAATGAGCGATTCGCACCTTACCAAGATTTTTTCAAAAAAGTCATCGTTCATTATAGAAAATTATGTCAACCACGAGATAAAATTATGCTTTACGATATGCCATGCAGGCATCCATTCAGTTATTTTTGCAATTTTTATATAAATTATAATAAGATCTGAAATAGTTATTTACTCTTATGCTTCCATTCAATCATGTGAGCCTTTTTTTATATAAATATAATAATAAAAAAAAGTTTATATGAATTAACTTTTATCTAAAATTAAACATCAATCTTGGATAGTTATTTACTATTATACAGTCAAAAGTCGTTAATTCGGACACCCATAATCCGGACCTCAAAGCTACAAACTTTCTGCTCATGCGTTGGGTTGACACATGCGCAATGTGTTACACGTGCGCGGAAGACTTTTACGCTACAAAGCATGTGCACACTCATAATAATTACGCATGGATTATTATTAGGTAAGCTAAAATTATCTAATTCAGTTAAGTTGCAGATGCGTTGTTCCTAATCTTCGATTGGATCCGCTTATCTTTTTTTTGCAGACTATTAGAGCAATTTTATAAAAGTAAGCTTGAACTTTCGATTATGTCAAATAGAATTTCTGATATATATTTACTAATATGTAAAAAATCTACAAAGCGAAAGTATGTTTCGAAATCCGAAATCAAATAGAATTTCTGATGTATATTTACTAACATGTAAAGGATCTACGAAGCGAAAGTATGTTTCGAAATCCGAAATCTGTTTATCAATTTCACGCTTCAAGAGAAAATATTGTCACATGAAATGAAGCCACTTAAACAACTTACATTAAAAGAAATGTTTAATAAAGTAAACAAATAAATATTAAGCTTTTTTGTTTTGTAAATTTTGATACCCTTTAGATCATAATTGTTCTTTATTTCATAAATTATGGTTTCATATTTTTAATTTTGTAATTTCTGCATGCCATCTTACCATACTTATACTGATGATCTATAATACGGAATCGCCGAAGTCCCGACGAGTCCGGATTAATGACTTTTGACTGTACTTCCTTTCTTGCATTAGGGTTCTCGCAATTATTTTTGGCAGCACTGGCATCAACAATAGTTTGGCGATTTTCAACGGCCCTCAAAACCGAATAGTACCAAAAAGACTTAGCATAATCCAAACAGAAAAATGATCTTTTTATAATCACTTTTACTGCTGCAATGCTAAAACACTTGCAGAAACACACTGCAATGGGGCACTTGCAGAAAATCCAATTGGCTATAAAAAATGGCAAAAATCCAAAAAATCTCATGGCGACTCAAAATCTAAAATTATATGCAAAATAGAAACAAATATGTCTTTCTTTTTGAAGATGACACCAAATTAATTCAGTCATATAAGAATCTGTACAGTGTCACACTATCTTATGAAGTCTTTTATACTACCATTTGATCAAATCCCACAATCACTCACTATTTTGTGTATGTACTTTAGTGATCAGATCTATGAAGTTATACCTATGATTAACTTTGAAATGTTTGAAATTAGCAGCTCTTATTCTTTCACTTTTATAAGCTTTACATGAACCTAAGTATTTTGTAGAACTTTCTTCATTGTTATCTTTTATCACTGCATTAGCATTGCCAATTTCCCATCTGGAACTTTTTTTCCCTGAATACTAAAATCATTTAATATACTGAAGGTTTTCTTTCTGAACAAATTTTAATCACATTAAGTTATCTGTGAAGTTAAAAAATAATAATAAAAATATTTTAATTCTAAAATCAATCTATCATTATTATTTTAAAATTTGTTTTCATCTAAATTTCAAGTCTTTGCTATCATGTAACAATAACCACTATTTTTACAGGAGTGTTTATTACCTCCCTCTGTTTTGTATTTTATAGTATCATTTTCTCTTCAAGCATGAATTCAGTCTCTGTCTGATCAATACAAATTCAGTCTGATCAAAAGTCTTTAATACTTCCATCAACCATGTTATTCTCAAGAAATTTACCTCTATGAACAGATTTTAATGTTGCTTGTTCTAGTCCTGGGTACAACTTTTTTTTTTCTTTTTTTTTTCTTTTGGAAATCTTTTCCATAATTTAACTTTGCCTCTGATCATTGAATTCTTTTTCAGTTATTGTCTTCATCAATGATCTGCCTTCAACACAACAGGAAGTTGATTAACAACATCATGGAATATAACTTGCTAAACTCAAAAACTATAAAAGCTGAGAGAAGAGCTCTTTAATTAAAATAACAACAGGACTATGATGACCATGTGGACATTACTAAAAATTAAATTTAGAAAAGAAAAGAAAAAAAAAAAAAAAGAGAGAGGGGAGGAAGTCAAGAAAGAGAACACTCAGTATAACTTGGTCCCACAAATGATAATGCCAACACTAATTTTGATATGAAAGGAACTCAAACTAGCAATAAAAGCTACAACAAAAGAGCAGTTATCTTTCTTAAAAATCAATATGAAGTCAGTGTGACTTCAAATAAATATTCTATACCAGGATGGGAAAATTTCTGTTTAAAGATAATATTTTGACTAATGGTAAAAAACCTTATTGTGATGACACTAAAATTTGCACTTGCTGTTACAGCTGCAAAGACTGCTATAACTTCAATTAATGAAAACATTTATCTTCAGCTAATAATCTTTGTGTTCCATTTGAAACTAATACAGTACAATGCTGCATTAGTTCCAAATGCAAAGTTAACACAGTCTGCAATCTGGATGTCCAAGATCTAGAATGATTTAACATTTAGGTATCTCTCAAAAAGTTTAGGAATGGAGAGTATACCGCTCGCCAAAAAGACAACATATGCTGTAAATGCAATATTTTCCACCTGAGATTCTTGCATATCACTATCAAGCAAATACTGACAACTACAGAAAGACGAATGACAATATGGTGATTGACATAGTAATGATATTGGCTCCAAATGCACTTTTGGTCTTTGAGTGGTTGAATTTTTCTGTTAGACCTAAACAATAAATGAAGTTCCTGTGTTGGCATGTCTATGGACAGCCGAGAACAGAATGGTGAATGAGAAGTATACTCACTCAGACTTCTCTGAATTGCTTATTGAATGCTATTTACCATATGCATATAACTACTTATTGTCATATCACCAATATAGATAGCAACAGTCATATGTTCTTTTAGCACATAAGATCTTTTTATCTACAGCAAGGGTGGACAAATACTTTTAACTGGGGGCCAGAAATGTCTTTTTTATTGCAGCTTGGAGACAGGGTCATGATAATCTATCGCGTTGCCCCTATTATTCTAAGGATGTGATGAGGATTAACACTCCCCACAGTAGAATTTTTTTAAAAAAAATTATAATATCTCTACAAATTTACAAATGTGCTCAAAACAGGAAATTTTCCTACTGACCATCAAATTGTTGACCCAAACCTGCTTTATTCTAAAATAAAAATTTAGGGGTGAAATGTTCTTTCCTTAAGCTCCCTTTATTTAATGTCTTTTTATCTAAAAAATATTCATGTTTGTTTGTTTAATTTCTAAATTCAAGCTGTTAGAAATTGTAAAATTATACTCTTCAACCAACGCATATGCATTTCTAAGTGTGTGTGTGTGTGTGTTAGTATATTTAGTGTTTTCCACCATGTTTATCACTAGTGAAGTCACACATACATGAAGGCATATACACATGGATCATGCTGCTGATCTAAGTAGTTTATATACAAAATCAAGTTGGAAAGAGATGAAAATGCCATTGCATAGGATTTCGTAACAGCCCAGATTAAGCAACTATAAGGGCTGCATTCAGCTTGCAGGCTAGCTTTTGCCCACCCCTAATTACCTCCAGACCTCTATTTCAGGTATTGTCAGAGGTATTTATAGATTTCGTTCATGCGTCCATGGAAAGGATATGCATGAATACAGTTTTTAGTGGGGTATCAGCCGGTAGTTTTCCAGCAACAAGGACTTGGACTCAATGATTCAAAACTTGCTCAGGCAATGAAATTTACTGCAAATAACCCAACTGCAGATACTATTTTTAATGAATAAGTAGCTAAGTTTGCTATTAATGAACAAATGACTCTTGATCAACGAAAAAATTGTGATGCGAGTGCTGACATGCAAATTTACTTGTTGCAAATCAAGGCCTGCCTTGATTTGCCAGACTCATGCCAACCTCACAGAACAAGCGAATCTAGATGCACGGAAAGTCTGAAAAGTAAATACTGTGGCCCAGATTAACAAAGAAGATGGAAAAGTGATCAAAACTAAAGGAGAACTCAGGTAAGAAGCAAAAATTTAACCAGGAAGTTAAGAAATTCTCTAAGAAAAACAAGGTCAAAACAGTTTTAAAAACTAGTTACTAAGGAAACAGTTCAGCCACAGAGGTCAGAAAAATTTGAAGCAGAAAATAATTGATCATGCCAAGAAAGACTCACAAGTGCAGCCTAAGTCTGACTCACAAGCACAGCCTAAGTCTTTGGGAAACAATGTAGAACAAAATAAACATATTTAAGCTTTCAATTGAGAAATGAGCAAACTGTGAGAACCACAGCCAATGAAAATGCTAGCATGAGAAAACCTGATCTGACACATGAAAAAATGTTGAAAGTACCACACACTTTCACTTCTTAGGGAAATGTGGAAAAAAAAACTGAGAGCAGAGCTCAAGCCTTTTTGAAAATAAAAAATATTAGGTGATATAAAAGAAGACTCCTTACATATTATGAAGTGGATGACTACTACAAAGTTAATACATATCTAATCAGCAGAGGTATGCCATATCATTTCAACTTGCTGAATGCAGAAAAACCTAATAAAGCAGTTATAAAAAACTGGTTTCCAACACCAACATGACTGACACTGAGGACAGACTAAAACAACACATCACTAAATATAAGATTGGCAGTGTTGTCCCACTACCAATGTTTTTAGTGCAGGTACCCAAAACTCCTGAAGGAAAGCATATTTACCAGCTCAATACCTTTCGTTCTCCGAAAGTTGTAGTTGAAGCGCACTGATCAAAGCCTGGCCCTGTGCAGTGTCACAGGTGCTAGCAGTACGGGCACTTAAAGAATATACTACAATAAATTCCATTGCATTATATGTGCAAATTTTCCCCCAACAAAGAAATGTGACCTCAAAAAGACCGATGGACAAGGAAGTGTGTCCTATGTGGCTCCGATCACATTTCAGTGCACAAGGGTTGTCCACCATGTCTGAATACTAAATACTGTCTCCAAACAGTAAGCAAATGACAGAATTCAAACATAATGAAAAAGACTTTTCACAATTAATTCTACTGAAACCACAGAAATCGGATAGAAGAAATTTAGAGAAAAACCAAAGCAAAACAAAACAAAACAAAACAAAAAAAATTAAAATAAAAAACACTGACATCTCTCTTACGGATTGATCAACTAACCCCAACAAACCATTCAAAAAATACAGACAAACGAAATCATTCATTAACAAAGTTGAGTTAGAGACTCTAACAATCGAAGCTATAACAGCATTAAAAAATAATCGCACCATCTAAACTGTGAGAACCTATAGTTGTAGAGACTTTAATTTTGCTGCACTGTGTATAGTTATTTTTGTTTTTCTTACTTGCTCTACTTCCAATACTTTATATTTTTCATATACACAGGACTTACTATTTCTCATGACCATGAAAATCAATTGAAGACTTTTCAGGTCATGAAAACCATTCATTGATGGAGGGAATTTCCTATTCATATACCTCTCCACCAGTGGATGCTGCCACTTGTCTGAGAAGTTTCAAAATTTCCTTGTACAGACTCTATTTTACCGCCAGCTACAACAGAATTATTTTTCACTGTTCTTTGATGGCTGGCACATTTTGGACTTGTATTAAACTTACAACCAAAGGCCCAAAGCATTCCCAGTTACAGGTCAAAACCAATATGGTTGCATGCCTGCAACACTGACAAATAATGATAACGGCCATGTGTACACTCATCTCACTGCATTTAAACTGATGATCTAAAATCCAGAATTTTCTGAAACCCGGAACCGCCAAAGTTCCGATGATTCTGGATCTCAGAGTTTGTAGTGTACAACTCTCACTCTCCCCAACTGCAGGAGATCTTATTACTACCAAGTTTTCTATGAAAAAAAAAATATGAAAATATTTCAGCTAAGTTTCAAAGTTAAAAACAGTTTGTGCAGAACTTACTGATTCAATTAAAACATTCTTTCTATAGCTTTTAAAATGTTAAAGGAATGCAGAATGGGTTGATTAGAGCTTGTATAATACATTTTCAATCAGAAACTAAGACACAGACACAATGATAAAAATAATGAAAATGATTAAACACTTCAACCTAAGTTGAGTTTATATAATAAATTAATTCAATCAATATTTTAGTAACAATTCTATTATGTCACTGACAGACGATTTGTTGCCATACACTGTAATTTATGGATGTATGCAGTATTTCATGACCAAAAGGATAGATATAAAACAAGCTTAGTTAGTTAAGAGAAGTCACAAATTATCTTAACAAAAATTTTGTGTGTACTAGCAAACATTTGATAAAACTATTGCAATGATTTCTTATTTGCATAATAATTTTTTGTTATAATAATTAATCCTATGAAATATTTTCAAGAACTGAACTGATAAAACAATTAACAAGATTCTTCATTTACAAAATAAACCCTTAATTATATTAAACAATCTTATAAATACTTTTAAGAAATGAAGTTAGATCATTATTGTTCAAACTAATTGAACAAAATTTTACCTATCTGCATCTAATCTTTTCCTGCGCAACATATTTAATGCAGTTTGCCTAACTAGAGTTCCTAGAGTTCGACGACTCACGACCATACCATCAACCAATGGTAAAGCAATAGACATCCTGGATGGAAAAAAGGTAAAATGAGATTATCTTAGAAAATAATGCAACATAATTTCCTTGCACTAAATCACAATTCTTTTCTTCCTTTCACTTTGACAATAAACAAATGATAATTTCTAATGCACTGAATACATAAATAACTAAATTGATTTTTAAAGCAGTTTTATGCATTCAAATATAAATTATCATATACTGTAACATTACACTTTTCAAAATTAAGCTTGCACCTCAATAGCAAATATACATTTTACATGCTCTAATTATCAGAATAACATTTGTTACTTTGTTGAGTTTGTTATTCTTAAATTCTGTTTCTTCAACACAGTGCAATAACGCAGATGTTAAATGACAATCACAGATATTTGGCTCAATGACTGGGATAAAGTGTTTCACAAAGTAATCAAAGCACTTCTACATCCAGAGATGGAATGTGTGTATCTATTGTATGATTGCCGACATTGAGTGTTATTTATTAGACATTCATTTCATGGGTTTAAATCGTGATGATTGGTATTGTATAGATATATTGTGGTAATAAATGCATCAAAACTTGTCCATTAAATTACCAGAACTATAATCTATTATTTTACAACAGGAACTTTATGGTTACTTTCCACTGTCCGATTAGACTCCCAACCATAGAACCGATAGTTATGGAAAAAAGTTGTCACTTAATTTTTCCCCATTTCATTTCTATTTAGCATGTTTTGCTTCATGAAAAGCACACAAATGAAAGGTGACTTGAACTACAGTTTCAAATTATGAGAGAGAAATAAATGCTGTGAAATGCTGATGATACCAGTTACGACTGTAAATGGGGAGGGGGGTGTAAAAGCCTTGAATTTCCTATTTTAAAGTAGTAGACTACTTTATAATAGACATAGTGACTTGCTGCTTTAAGCCAATGACAAACCTGATATAACACTTAAAACATCAGGAATCTTTGATACTATAGTGTGACACATTTTCCACATTCTATGGACCTTTCACCAATAAATTATTTTTTAAGCACTTGGAATATTTCCCGGAAACATTCCGTAAACAACTTTGCAACAACTCAATACAAAGGAATGTGCTTTAATCTTATAATTTTATTTAAAATTAATTAATTTGTTTGTAAAAATTCCTGACTATAAAACAGGGATCAACAATTTACTCAGACTAGTGGTAAGGATATAAAACAGAAGAAATGGAAAAAGGAAGTTACAGGCATTTTAAGGGGAACCACAAATTTAATTTTTTTGATTCAACAACATAAGCTCATACACAAAATGTTGAAAGATTGTGATGCCTTGCTAAGTGGTAGAATAAAAATCAACAAGCAGGCAGATTTTACCATCATCATCAGCAGCATGCTGTGAAAGTTTTGGGGACAAGAAAATGCTTCTGATGGAATATTAAAAGCAATCATTGAAAATGGCAGCTATAATGTTTCATGAGATGTAAACATGAACTTGTGGTAATCCTGGTGCCAGCATGGCATTCCAAAAATGAGGCACCCCATAATAATAAAGTACTCAAAATTTTTCTGCTATAGCATTATTTTAACATAATGAATTCTCAGATCTAAAAATTTTTCTTGTATTCATGTTGTAAATATATTACATATTACCTATATTTTACATTTTTCTAATATCAGTTTGGATATTTTAAAAGTATTTAATAAAATGCAGCAGTCAAAATATTTCAGGGAAATTTATCTACATAATTTTCTGTAATAAAATAGAAAATAAATTTTATTGTTGTTACAGGCTCAGGAATGTAATACCAGTCTCACATTCTGTTTTGGGTAACAGAAGCTTTAAATGGCATAAAATATTAGGGGTTTCAAACATGATCAGAAACACCAGAGTGACTGAAAAAGTGAAGTAACTGCATCCTAGTAAAGCACATTATTCAAAGTCATCTTCTCATGTCACAATACATCATTTCCAGTGGTCTAGAATTTGTTTCTTCCTCTTTTCACAGATAGTAAGTTGGATGCCTGTCTACTGAACTCCTAAGAATAATGGAGACTAAATCTGAACTATAATGGAGATGTAGCAGCACATTTCAACTGCCGCTTTGTCACATACATTGCTCTTTATATTGTCTGTAAAGCCCAATCAACATGTATTAGCTAGAGTTCCATTCCATAGCTAAAAATATACGATAATCCTTACTTCCATTTCCTACTTAGTCATCAACCACACAGCTACTACATGCAACTAACCAGAATGAACTTCTGCAACACAATAGGCAAGATAAAACAGTCAGAATAACCAAGGTTATTTATTGTCTTACAAGAATCAACTTGCGAAAAATCCAGGAATGCAAGTGATATTTAAATGTCCTGTTATAAATTATATTTGTCAAAAATTATCAATTTGTTAAGTTTTTTAATCTATATTAGAGTGAAAAACTAATCTATATTAGAGTGAAAAACAAATTAATATTTAGAATAAAAAAATCTTCAACAGTTTAGATAGAAAACATGATAAAATGTTTTTTTCAGAAGTCCTGAAAATACAATACAATTTTAAAGTAAACTATTTATGAAATTAATGAGGACTTTTACTGAAACCGATTTATACTGAACATTATACATGAATATTATACTGAACAGAACATTCCTAAATACCTACATAAATATAAAAAAATCAGTTACCTTTTAATAATATAAGTTAACATAATATAAATAAAACTTACTTGCCAGCAGGTCCTTGAAGTTTGATCTGAAATAAACCGCTTTCTAATGGATGTACAAAAATTACAAATAAGTCCTTTTCAGATGTACGAGATATAAAATTTGGTGGTTCTAATCCAGTATTCAGCAACGGCACTACATCAGCTGAAATATATATATAATTACAAACATTTTCAGAAGTTAAAATTATTCAGTTACTTTGCACATTTTATTTACATCTAATAATATTCAATACAAATATTAATTTATTCAGCATATAACTTTATAAAAACTTCAAAAATACACACAGCTAACAACGGAAACATACAGCTAACAATTCCCACTTGATGGTTGTTTACAATAATAACGAGAATTTTAAAATTAATATAGTATTGACTAGATTTCTCTGTGAATAAAAAGTATATAAGTTAAAAGGAAGAAATACCAATTAAACAATTAAAACTGTTCACAACAAAAGCACACTGTTCACAACTAAAGTTTATGATACAAGATACTGATAAGTGTAATCAATTTTTGGATCACAGATAAGGTTGTTCAGCAAGAACCAGAAAAGGATCTCAAATATGATAAAAGGTAAAACTGATTTAGTTATGAATGATATATGAAAAATCACAATGCACAGAGTGAACAAAACTGGAAGAAAGAAAGTTCTCTAACTGTTGTTCTAGTTGGCCTATCAAAAAAATTAAGAATTTGTGCCATAAATGCATGATTTAGACCCACCAAAGGCCAAGTGGTCCTGAACACATCTAGTTTGGTCCGAGATTCGAATCCCACAAACAGGCTGGCTGCATGGGTGTTTTTATGATTTTCTCCATGCATAATGTGTTAATACGAGCCAGTTTCCCTTAGAAAGTCCTCCACAAAGGCACCCATCCCTTCCATGTAGTGACTTAAGGTGAACACACAACTGATAATAAATACATGCCTTAACATCATATACATATCTTTTCAGGCAAGATATTTACTCAAAAACATTTTTGGAGAATGGCCAAATTCATTGGTCATTTAGCCATCTTATCGTAAAGAATCTTTCCCAGGGTTTAATGCAGGAAGGCAATACATGGGAAGAGGGAGACACATATACAACTAAATACTGCATGGAAGTTAAGCTCACACTCACAGTTTCAAGCTAGCAGTCAGTCTTGGCAGCTACACCAATTTATATTAAACTTATTCACAGCATTAACGTACATTTTAGCGGAAAATTTCCCTTTTAAAAAATAACCTGTTAATTATTTCTTTCTATAAATATAGTCTACATATAAATACTACATAATGCTTACATATCAAGTTTTATAAAAATTGAATTCAGGATTTCCTGATTATTCATGATTAACTTGAGGGAATAATTTCTGATTTGTATCAAATGTAATTTCATTAGAATAATTTTAATTTTATATTAATACTTACTATTTTTTCCCTTAGTAATTATGAAATTATCTGTATTTAGTGGATTATCACAATTTTTGATCTCCTTAATAATAGTTAAACTATAATATTTGCAGTTTGAGGCTTACAGTTTCAGCAAGCTATATGTCAGTACTGAAAATGTTTATAAAAGATCAAAAAGAGTTTGTAAATATCACTAGTTGATTATACAGTAAATGTAGTTGATTGATTTCTGCCATTAGAATACAAGAAAGATCACAAGCTATATGCAAGAATATTAGAAATCAATAAGAAAACCATTTAGAAATTTTGTTAAAAATGAATATACATCAGAAAGATAAATAATACAACAGTCAGAAACTGCTATAATCACCATTCATTATAGTGACTATTTTCCTATGACAATTAATGCAAGCAATTGATGAAAGTGTTTTCCCATTTATGCTATGTTTTCCCCTCCCCCTCAAACATCTCATTTAATGACCAGCCATGATAATGCATTTTAATATAATTCAGCTCTCCTTTCAATTTACTTCCAAGATCTGGACATATTCTTAAAACATCAATACAATCTTAGGCTTTGTGTATTACTGATTCTGGTACATTACTAACTGAACCCCCCAAAAAAAATCTTCTGCAAAAAACAAACACAATGGGCTTCTTCTTATGCATGAGAATTTCTTAGAATCCAATTTGCAAAAATGAGATATGATGGGGGCTGTAGGGAGTAAAGAATGGATGCTGAATATCATGTAGTGGGATTCATCTTTATTTTGACAGAATGAGAATGATAATATAACTGGGAATTTATCATCCATTTTAGATTTACTTTAAAGAACAGTTTAAATAGAAGTAATAGCAGTTTAAAATCATTTAGCCAAAGGCTACCTTTTCTATAAATCCATTCCTCTGTCAATAAAATACTACAAGAAAAAACAGCCCAAAGCAAGACTTACACGAGCAAGAAGAGAGGAATTAAGAACTACAGACTTCAAACTGTATAAATAACATTGTATTAAATCTATGAAAAGGATGACAGCATCAAGAATTTGGTTAAAAGAAATTCATTTCTTAAAAAGTTCAGAAAACAAGACAAAATTCAGTTAGTTTCTTTCGCTCATGCAAATGGTTACTTTTAACTATATATTTCCTAAATCTATAAATTATCTATCTTGATTTACAGAACTGCATATTTATATGAATGTTTAAAAATAGAAGCATTATCTTATCTCTTAATGATAAGATGTTAAGCTCTACTCCCCCAAAAAGAAGATGCTAAAAATTAATTGAATTTAACAAAACATGTTCCTGAAAGTTAACTTATTTTGTGTAGGTATCATCTGCATTAAGTTACACAATATTTTATTAATATGCTGTACAATAAAAATACTTTAGGAGCCCAGTAGTGTATTATACCCAAAGAGCCATTTTTTGATAGTAAGGTGCATTCTGGTAATAATATGAAAAAATGCATCAAATGCAATTCATTAATAATCATACCTAAAGGAAATGAAATATAATCATCTAAATTTTCTAGCCATGCTACAACAACTTTCATATCACAAGCAATTGCACAACTATGCTGCCTTCCGAACTTCCGACCAGAGCTACGGCCTTGTCCTTGATATATGTCATCTCCAGCATCTAAATTCAAAGACATTGCTCGAGGTACAGATACATCAGATATTGAACCAGAAGGCATAGTTCTTCTATCAGCTTCTCTTGTAAAATCCCTGGATTCTAAAAATATAAAAAATTACTTTATTTTACTTTAAAGTTAATGGCTCACATAAATACAGTAAAACCTCCATTATCTGAGTTTTGATTAACTGAGCTTCTACAATATCTGATCCCAATACAATAAATAATAATTTAAAAAAGTCATTAAAATTGCCTCATTCAAAAGGTAAATAATCTGTAGATTTCGGTTTTAGCAATAATTCAAACTGTTAAGATATGGGACTTCCTTCTTTATGCTCAGGAGTCTCAATTCTAGGGCATTTTGATAAAAATGAGTTAGCTTTTAGTTTTCAAACTGGAGCCAATGTATGTTCATAGATTACCAGTGACGTATGAAGCAGCAGCATTCTATTGAATGTTTGGCATTTTTAGGAGAGTAAGAAATATGAGAATTATTATATACTTTCCCCAGGCATTGTATATAATACCTAGGCATTCTATAGAATAACAAATGCTATTTAGGCAAAATATGAAGAAAGGTCATGATAAGGCTTTTATTTATAAGACATGCATTTCTCAAAAATACAAATGTTATTTTGAAAAAATTATGAGAGAGTCCCATCAAACAACTTTTATTCCAAATTTGTAAAAAAAAAGAATGAAAGTTGTACAGAGCAAAATTTATGCCTTTCTTATTAAAGAAAATAATGTATAAAATATACATAAATTTATGCAACGAATGTATTAAATATAAGTATATTCAAGATGAATTGCATATATATTTCATACTTTGCTGGTTTGGTTTCATACTTTGCTGGTTGGCATTCTAGAGAACAGTGTTATACAACTGGTTTTGCCTTATGAGCTACTTTTAAATTTCTGCCATAACTTGTGGACACCTGGTATTTTATGTTTGCAAAATGAGAATTTGATAAAAATATGTGTTTACTGGATGATTTTGCATTTACAAATAATAAGGCAAAATAATAGGAATCTAGAAAAAACTGGAGAAAATTCACTAATAAAATGCAAACGCAGTGCAGATATATATATATATATTACTGGCATATACAAAGAGCGTTTTTTAAGTAAGGTCCATTTGAAAATAAAAACCAAACGACAGAAAATTTTCAAAAACTGAATTTATTTTCAGATTCTACATACACAATATTTGTCTACATAGTTGCCAAGTTTGTTTAAACACTTATCATACCTTAGAAATAGATTTTGAATACCCTCTTCATAGAAACTTGCCACTGGCTCTGATAACCAAGAGGTCACAGCTGTTTCCACATCCTAGACTGGACACTTCAGAAAATTCATTTGAAAGAGTCCTTAAGTGTCTGTTCTCAAGAATTTTTGCTTCAATTGAAGCCTCCATATCATCTGTGATCACAGATGGGCAACCAGAGTGGGACTTACTATGGATGCTGTCATGTCTGGCTTTGAAGTCTCTGGCCCACTTACGTACTTTGCCTTCACTTATAGCAGTAGCTCTGTAAATTGCACAAATCTGTCAGTGAATGTCTGCAGTGACAGGTTTCTGGCCGACAAAAAAGTATCACTGTCCATACCTTGAATGGGGTGGGCAATTCAATAATCTCAAACATTTTAAAGACATAGAACAGACTGTACAGGTTACCTACACAACTGCAACTGAGCACAATTATTTGCAAGGAATGCTGGGACATGACACATGCACTCGTTGCCACCCACGCAACACGTATTAGTGTATACAACAAAACAGCCCTTTAAAAACATGCTACATATTTATATTCAAATGCTAACTTACTACTTGATATCAATTAATCAATAATACAAATTTCTCCTGGAAGAATAAAAATATCTTAAAGGTGATTAAACAAGGATACATGATTGTCCACTTTCTTCCAAATCAGTGAATAAATAAAAACAGCATTAAAGAAATCAAATTCAATATATTTTGGAAAACTGAAACTATTGATTCTGCTTTCCATGAAATGATTTAAGGAAATGACTGAGATTTTGATTCATTGCATGCAACTTAAAGACATCTTAAACATAAATATAAAATTTGATTCTAATACATTTCATTACTTTCAAAAAACCACCATTTAGCTACAATTTACATTTTTATTACATAGATTTGTTATCTATGTAATAAAAATGTAAATCATGTTTACAGTCTATATCTTGTTTGTAAGAAGTAATTTCAGTGCTCAGACACTGAAGTACTTGAAACCCAGTTGATAAAGAAATGCAATTTTACTCAATTGCTTAAGTTTCTGATCAAAATAAGATCATAGTTTAATAAATTTTATCAAATTATGAGAAACATGTACAAGAAGCCTTAGATATCCTAACAAGTTTTTTTTTTAAAAAAAAGACACTTGACATGTATGAGAGGATTTCTTTTATAATTTACTTTAAAAACAAAAAAAAAAAAAAAAAAAAAGAGGAAAAATTTGCATCATTTAATTCAATTCAAGCCAGCAAAAAAGGAAGAAACGCAACTATATGTTAACATTCTGGTTCTATTGCAACAAGATAAAAAATGCTTTTTTAATAAAGATAACATAACACAGTAGTTAGAATTCTATAAAATCTCATGCTATGCAAAACTGATATATAACCACAAAATACTAAATAATAGTATAAAAAATGGAAGCAGATTTCAAAATTTACCAAAAATGCATCATTTCATTTTTATAATTATGCTCTTTCCCAAAACATAAGTAACATACATTTCATTATAAATAAAAGCAAACCTATTTTATTGTAGGTTTACAAAGTAAGTTTCTGCAAATAAACAAGATCACATACTGAAAAGTATAAAAGCCATATATTTATATGTTATACATTACTTCAATATTTTTAGCCAAGAATCTGTATTTTTAGAAAAATTAATAGTAATAAATAAACAATCAAATATGGTTTTAAGAATGTTCAATGGGAAAATTTATCTAATAATGCATATAATACCTTCCAACTAAAATGCATATTTGATAGTAACAATTTATGCTCTCAAACGTACTTCTGATTGTTTGTTGTAGCAGTAATACTCATACCTGTAGAAACAACAGTCAGAGACTTTAAAGAATACTTGATGGGTAATGTGATCTGCAGTTAATTACCCTCATACGTCCTAAACATGCTCTGAACTTTTTTCCCTAAGAGATTCAAGTCTAATGAGATTGGATGCCATTGCATATATAGAACTATTTTATACTCTGGTTATGGCAAGCTTCATCAAATCATGTTTACAGTCTATAAATACCAAATTAGTACCTATTGCAGCAATAAATTAACAACTCAGTTACAGAACTACCAACAAAAACACGAAGATCAGGATGAGTTTCATTGCCATTCTTATCCGCACTAATGAATTACCTTCTCGTGATAGTCGTTTTGTGATATTTATTGCTTGGTATTTGTTGCCCCGTGTTTTCTCAACATTAAAATCACTGCAGAGGCTAAATCAAGATTTATAAAAATACTTGATTTTGCTCATCTTTGTTTTACCCTAGGAGATTTCACAGATACTCTGACACTGGATAATAAAGGCAGAGAAAACAGTTCTATACCTTCATCAGATGTAGATTTATTGTATTTCAGATATAGTAATAGCAGGAAATCCCAAAATCATAATTTTTTTTTCAATTAATAACAGTTTTGAAATTTCCATCTTCACAAATCATTCACTTCATGTCATTCTATCTTCACAAATCCTTTATTTACCCACATGAACCATATAAGATTTACTTTGTTGAGGTATGGTCCTTTTTTAGATTAGCAAAGAGACCCAAAGCCATTGTCATGTTATTAGTACTTAGTGCCAGAGTATAATGTCTTGTACTCTGGCACAAAAAATCTCCATCACAGAATGTTCTAAATGCCAATATAAATTTAATAAACAGTTCAGATTCAAATTCTCTACATACACTTCAGATTAGATTATGCTAGTTGATTAATGCAAAACAACTCAAAGGTTATTCCCTACAGGTCGAGATGCCTTCAAGAAAGAGTCTGAAGTATTCCATTTTAAATAATTTTGCTTTGACTTCAGAATTGCATTTTATCCAAATTTTGAAATTAGTACAGTAAACTTTGCAAAACATATAAAATTGAGGTCTTGTAATAAATAATATATTTGATACAGCTTTTTCTTTCTTTTCCTTCTCTTCTTCATCCTTTTTTGGGGAGAAGGAGGTCACATTTTTTTCTTAGCTTTAGACCTGGCCTGCTGATTTAAGCTGGAGGTCTGTAGCATTATTTCTTATGGAGAACCTGTTCTCTAAATCTTTTCATTGTAATAGCTAACACTCATGCATATGACAATAGTTATTTTACGAAATAACTTAATAATTGATTATTTTTTAATTTAAAGATAAAGAAACTGCATTTTACTTTTCCGCATTTTTATTTATATAATTTCAGTCCATTATAGGTTGCATAAAATAAACACATATTTTAAACCAGGGTCTACCCCCTCTTTCTTTTTCTCAGTTTATAAACCCTTATATTCGTGTGACACCTTGAGCTTCAAATGTGGCAATTATACAGAAGTTAACTCTGAAAGTTAGTTCTAGTTTTTAAACTAAGACTTCAATAATTGATTTCAGTCCTAAATGACAGCTTAAGGCAGTAGGCGAATGTCTGATTTTTTGGGTAAAAAAGGGCATAAAAAGATAAAATAAAGTTTTAGGATTTGTCTCTACTACTAATTTTACATTTTAAAAACCTATAACTAAAAATACATATATTTAAAACTTTACATTTTAAAAACATTACAGAAAGATTTGGAAAACCTCCTTAGAATGCAGACCCAGATCACGTGTGCCATTTTCCCTTGCATAAATCACAAACTGAGATATATATAATTAGATAGCATAAATTCTTTTTTATCCTTTACATTACTAGTGCAAATAACGAAATGAAATAATTTTCCCTCCATAACACAGTATTTATATTTTCAGAAATCATTTTTTTAACATAATTCAAATTTGCATGTTCCTAATGTGGATTAATTTTCTTCTCTAGAAGCTAAATATTTTTTAACTATGGTTCCTTTCACCTGAAGGATCTACACTTAATATGCTCCTATCAAAATTTGAAATGGTTTGTTTAACTTCAGTGCCATGAATTCATGTTGCATGGTATTTCTCTTCTTCTGATCCTGTCAAATCAAAATTAACTGTACTTACAAACAAATTATGCTTATATGAACTCCAATGGAAGATTTGTGCTCTTAGAATACATATTAATTTTTTAATAATATATAGTATACATTTTTCACTTAAAATATCTTTTTAAGATAACATACTTTTAATGTTATAAGAAGTTTCCTATTTTGGACATACATTTCTGTAACTGCAAAATATTTCAAACCATTATCAAATAAATATATTGCTTTTTTCCAAATATAAAAATTATTGAATCATTTGACAAAACACTTTTTTTTTTTCATTTCCCTAATTTGAATTGAAATGTTGAAAAAAAAAGTACAATAATAATAATAATAATAATAAAAAGTGTGATTAATTTAATAATCTGAAAACTAATTTTGTACCTCAGCCATAACTGAAAAAAAATCAAACAGCTATTTATCAATTATCAATTTTGGCTGAAATCACAACTTATTTTTTCTAATATAATTATGAAGTAAAAAAAAGGAAACAAAGGATTTATTTACAGGCTGAATAATAAATTTCCAAAACATAAAAGCCTCGCTTTTAAAAGATTTTTCAAGCAAAATTTTTGAAAATATGACCAATCTGATTTTAAAGTAAGAGATTTTGCTTCAAACAATAAGCATATTTCATACAAGGTTATGTATATGTTTGTATGTATACATAAAAATGTTAAGCACTAAATACATCTTTCATCTTACTTATTAGATGTTTTTAGCCCAAAGGGCTATTAATTTTATTTTGGCATTTTACCTCAATTCACATTCTGCCTTGATTCACTTTTCAAACTGTTGCCACCAACTATTACAGCCCTATATTATATTTACAGAAATTAAATAATGAAGAATTTACATAAATGTATGTATGTTTCACACATTGTGATAAAACAATGGTATGTAGATCCATCAAATTTTGAATAACACAATCCTCCAGCGAATATGGGCATCTGGAAGCCCTAATTTAGAATTTTTTTTATTATCTATTTCATATTTTGTCAAACATTAAAGAATTTTTGATTAAGAAACTCAACAATTTCAAAGCAAAGAATGGCAACATTATGCAATTAAAAAAAAAAAAAAAAAAAAAAAAAAAAAAAATTCCCTAAAGCATGCGAGTGCATTGGAAATTCTAAAGATATGCTCATTTTAAAATTATTCTGTGATATTGCTGTTGAACTGAATTTTATCGTTTAAGTGTGAAGAACATGATATTTAAAAAATAAAGGAATAACATGATATTTAAAAAACAAAACATTAAGAAAGTTTTCTGCCAAAAAATGGTTTTAATAAAGTTGGGAGGGGGGGAACCATGAATGCAGTACTTTTAGTGCGGGTAGTGATCACTACCAAAATCTATGCTTTTCTGCCAACGTTTTGGTAGTAAAGCCTTCAGCCCAGAAACTTGTTGGCCACGAGTCCAAAGGGTGTGGCAAAAGATCCAATTTGAATCTGCACAGAGTCCACCCAGTGAATGTAGACACATGTGGTCTTGCATTATCTTTATGGAACATTAACTTTTTGTACTGGAATTCAGTTCGATGTTTTTCCTTGATGGCAGTGTCAATACAGACTAGCATCTTGCTGTACACCTTACGACCATACTGTCGAATGCTTAATCTTTTCCCACATTATCTTTGTGGATACCACAGCAATACCACTACACCCAAAGCATGATCTTTTTTGTTAGTCAAATTGCACTTTGCGACATTGCTGATGGGCTCACCCGACAGAGACCAAACCCTTTTCAGCCTGTGTTGTTGAAGTAATTCCACTTTTCTTCAAAAGTGATAATCTGGTCCAGAATTTTGTTCTTGCATTGATAGAGAAGATTAGTACAGGCCCAAGCATATCCGTCCTTATCTGCTTGAGTCAGCTCATGCGGAGCCCAGCTATTGAACTTGCACGTCAAGTTTATGTGATGCATAGCATGACTAATGGACAGCACTAATTTCTAATTCCTTAGCAAGCTCTCGAGTGGTTGCATCCTGATCTTCTTCCACAAGTTCCCACAGGCATGCCTCATCGACATCATTAGGTCAGCCAGAGCAATTTGCTTCTTGAATATCCTTGTTTTTGAACTTTTGGTACCAAACCCTCACAGTGTCATATGATGCAATATTTGTACCTAAAGCTGTATGCATGATTTGGTATGCATGTATGACAGCTGTAGCTGACTTTTTGTAACAGAACTGGAAGTAAGTGATGGTTCTAATCTGGTAGCACGATAGTTCCACTTCAGACACCTTGTACATAATGATAACAATATTTTTCTTACAAATTTCACCGCACAGTGTTCTAAAGCAAGTCTCATTTTTTTCAAATTCTAAAAATCGTTTGACAAAATATGATTAAACACGCCATGCAAACTGTTTGTGCAGACTATATTTGAGGCAGTGGGAAACTTCCACTAAAACCTGATAAAAACAAGATAAGTAAGCAAACTAGGCAATAATTTTGAAAGACAAATATGATTAATAATAACTCACCTTTATTTCGAAGAGTTACATTGTCACCGAAGTCATGTACTTTTGTTTCTTTCCTAAAACTTCTCTCCTGAGAAACAGGGCTTGGAACAACAAAAGCCAGTTCAGAAGAAACATCAGACCAATATAACACTTTATGCTTACCATTATAAACGCTAACTGTCTCTTGTTCAGGGATGGAATCTTATAAAATGAAAAGAAAATGATTAAAGATTTATGAGTTTTTTACAAACACAAATATAGAAAATTATGTCAGTGTTTAAAAATTACACCTAATTTTTTTAATTACTAATATAATTTTTCAGAATAAATTTTTAGTAACTTTAAACAATATTAGCCAATATACAATTCTAAATTGGAAAAGTATCCATGCCAAAAGAAACTGAAACATGAAGTCATCAGAAATCATACCCAAGTCATCATTTGGAAGAATCTTCCATGCAGTAGAAATGTGGCCCGTCCACCCAGCATGTTTTTTTACATCTACAGGCCAACCTAGAGACCTTAAAAATTCCAAGAAATGAGGATGGATATTTTCAGAAGTCTGAAAAATGAAAAATAATTTATTAAATATAGTAGAAAGTAGCTGTCAAAATTTAATATATATATATATATATATATTTAACAATTATAAAATGAAGAAATCAAACAGCGATTTTTACCTATTTAAACTTCTAACAAAGTTTATATGTTAATTTGTTAGCATATCAAAATTAATTACTTTTAGTAAACAGCCCATTTATTTCTTTGCATAAAAATTAGTACATCAAATTAATGATAATGATTGCTTCTCTCGACTGTTTTATAAATTTTTAATTAAGCAGTAGCTCATGATTATAAATCATTAACATAAAAGTTCACATAGATTAACTCTTTAAGTCACTTATAAATAATTTTATGAAATTTTTTTGTTTTCTCTTTGTGTATGACTTAAATATACTCTATTATAACCAAAGGTAAGAGTAGAGCTATGCATGGAATATTAAGTCATCAGTTTTATGTACATACATACATTCATACGATTATTTTATTACATTTAGTTAGAAATGTGATTGGCTTATGTGTCTAATTTTACTTTGACCATTTCTCCTGTAATTACTAAAGGGTTAGGAGTTGCATTTTGATTATCTTTTTTCCAATAGGTGGATCAATTCTGAATATATATTTATTTGCAATTACATTTTTCAAAATCTCATTCAGAAACTATACAGGGAATTAAATTAACAATTTATTAAAAATTACTTTTACATTATACACTACTTTAATAAAAATCATTTTAACAGAAATATTATATATAGAAAATACTAACTACATTTTGCAAAAAGCTATCAACAGAAGTCTGCCCACTTTGAACATAGAGTATGAAAACAGTGTCAGCCGTTCTACTTGGTGTGCTGTCAATTTCTTCCAATTTATTAGGAAAATTGTCTGCAAGTTGATCTAGTACAACCAAAGATGGTAAAGGCTGAGTCAAAGATTCCTATAACAATTAATAAATATTCACTTTCTAAGTATATATGCAAAACACACATTCACAAATGCACTTAAACAGTTATATATGAAAACCAATAACATGCCTTTAATGCTTCTGAATTCAAAAAACCAAGATGGGAAAGAAACAAGCGAGAAGTCTGGAATTCCTGGCAAAGACTTAGAAATACAACAATTATAGCAAATTGCAATAGAAAAAAAAATTATAATCAGATCTATCTAAAAAGTTTTTGTGTTACCTGGGAGCTTTACATTCAGTTTCAGGATTTGGATACTCGTTATATTGAGAATCCTCCGCTTTTTTCACTGAAGCTTCAAAGTTGATCTGGTTTTCAATAAGTTTCACAAGCTTTTCATGCTCTTCAGCACTAACTCGAGAAATATTTTCTAATGAAGGTATGCTTTTATCTCTGCAAACATTTAGGGATTTCACCAAGTATAATTTTTCACGCATCATTTATTTAAAAAGCACTATAAAGTTATTTTAGGTTTCATGCATAAATATTTCTAGATATTTTTAGCAGCTGTACACATACACACAGAATAACAGCATTTAGATTTATTTTCATGCAAATGATTCCTAAATTCTAAATTTGGAAAACAGTAAGATAAAACAACGTTCAATACAGGTATAATAATTTTTTAACTCGTATTATGAAGAGACATATTTTTGATTATCATATTTCCTGGCCCATAAGACATACTGTAAACAAGGAATGCATTGTGATTTATTAGGGTAGAATTTATGAAAAATATTTAGATCAAACAGAAAAGAATCAAAGTACTTATTTTAATGACAACACTTATACACAATAAAAATGGAACTGTTATATTAAAAAGTTAAGAAAGTTAAGGGTTAATCTTTGGATTATGGTAACTTAGCAATTTTTTGGTGAAAATTTGGTGACCAACCCTGTTACAGCAACCTGCTAGTTTTGTTTTGAACACCATTTCGTTTTCATGAAGTAAAGGCATTTTTTTTACACTCAACATTTTTTCCTACAATCTGCTAGCCAAATTACGCTTATACTAGAACTTTTATGGAAAAAAAATGCTTAATCATGATGAAGATTAGGTGTGAAATTGGGAGAAAGTGCAGAATCGCAAACTGCTTGCCGCGTTTTTAAGAATTGCACATACACGGTATCCATGTACACGTCGACCTATTTTCACTTAAAAAAAATATCCCAGAATTGCACAAAAATGGCATTGCGCACAGTCTTGACTTTATCCATGTACACTGCCAAAGTCTTAGCTAGTAACCTTTATCGCCTTACCAAAATGTCGCCAAACTACCTGTTACCATATTCCAAAGATTAGTCAAGTTAAGAACTATATCAGTGTTTATTCATCACAGAATTACAGAAATTCATCATCGCTGGTGGTGATATCATATATGCAATTATTTTCACATTGGTGGTCACTGTTACTGGATTTGTCACTTTCTTTATACACAATATCATCTTCACTTCTATCTAGCACACTGCTAATTCCACATTTTTTAAAGGATTTCATGACAGTCTCACTTTTAATTTTCTGCCAGGACGTTTTCACCCAATCACAAACACTACAAATTGACCAAGGGTTCATTCTTCCCATCAGAGTAACATCATGAGTTGGAGTCTCAATCCACTTTATCCACTTGTCATGTATAAATCTCTTGAAGGTTTATTGATTGAAACAGCCAGAGGCTGTAGGTGAGAAGTCATTCCACCAGGAATCATAGCAAGATGAATCTTCAGTTCAGTAGCAAAGATTTTTGCTGACTCTGTTACATAGGCCTTAAACTAATTGTGCACTAATAAAAATGATTTCTTCAGAAGTGCACCTGGATGGCTGTACCCCATCTTCTATAACAACTACTTCATATCCTCTACACCTCCATTTCATCAGTAGGTTAGACATGAATATAAGTTCTATGTTAGGCAGCATTTTTTCTTTAAAGATTAACAAAGGACAGAGTTTCAAACCATCAACACAACAAGCAAGAACAGCAGTATAGTGTGTCTTCTTGTTGCCAGAAGTTTTCATCATTACTGCCTTAGCACTTTTAATGTCCACTGTTCTATTTTATGGCATGTCAACATCAAGAATACCTCATCTATGTTTCCTATTTGTCCTATCTCAGGTATTTTCCCCCTCAGTTTAATGATATATTTGTAGAATTCTAAAAAGTCTTTTTTTTTTTTTTTTTCAGATTCAAGTGGCAGTTTTTGTGCTATTGTAGTTTTGGTAAACATGCACAAACTATTTCCCTTTATGAATATCTCGCATTATGACATGCCCCAGAAATATCAGCAATAGACATATCTATCTATAATTTTCTCACTTCAATAAAAATAATTTTCATTGAAAGAATAATCTTATTCTTCCTGTGATTTACAGTCCAGTTCTTAATACATTTCTCAAGCTTTGGCCATTTAGGAGCACATGAACGTAAAGTTCTTTTATAATTTGCATTTACTAAATCCATTTCTGCTTCCTCCATTCTCCAATCATCTAAACAAAACATAGCATTTCTTTTTACAGCAAAGAGTAGTAATTGAAGGGAATATCTTCATTCATTCCATTTGCCGCATTTTGCAGTTATTGTGTTTTGGAGCAATATCATTTTTTCTATCACATTTGTTCACATCGTGTCTTTTTATGACAATTTTGGTAATTTCCAATCATTGTTATTAGTGTTTAAGTATACTAGAGGAATATTTCATAGATCCCTGTACAAAAAGAACAAGAACAAATAAACTCCAAGACCAGAGCTGTAACTAAGTTTTTTAGCACCCAGGGACAATGGAAGATCTCATGCCCTTCCTGTTTCCCAAGAGTAAAAAACATTTCATTGTGAAAATTCCTAACATCCAACTTGGAACCCACTGGATGCTGCATCCAGGGACAAATGTCCCCCCCTTGACCCCTCTAGCTATGCCCATGTGCAAGACCAATAAGTGGAAATGCCCCATTATTTCTTTTTTTACAAGTGCCAGTACATGAGTTCAATTCTAAAACTGAACACTGCATTCTACAGAAGCTTACAGAAAATATGGTACACACTTGCCTAAAGACAAAAAACCCAGTCATCATGGTTTCCCGGTAGAAAATATTCCTTAGCTTTTTGCTTGTATTTATAGTCAAGGGATCATAATATATAATGATTCATATCTCAATCCTGAAAAGGGATTTAGAATGTCATTATAGCGAATGAAATTTTATGCAAGACTATATTCTTGATAAAGCATGTGGCATGTATAATAATTTTCAAAGCTTTACTCGGAAGGACCTAGAGTACTTTCCTAAAAGTTTTTTACGTGTACAAAAAATTGGTGTTATCAAAGAAAGATATAAATGTCATTTCATGTTTAGGGTGAGGCTGAAATCTATACCCTACAAGTGAATATATAAACATTATAGCTTTCGAAGAAAAAAAAGAGACTACATATTAGTGTTAACATATGTATATTCAGCAAATAGCATATAAAGCATTTTCTAGATTTTTGAACTAATTGTATAATCAGGATATTAACTTGGAGTTGAAAATGACAAAAAGAATGCTGTAGATGTCATGCTAAAACCACCTTTAAATGATAGTGAATTAGGAGCTTTTGCAGATGACCCATCTGCTTCATCAGCTGGAACTCATGATCAATGTCCAGATGTATGATAGATTAAAAAGAGTATCTCTGTTGTAACAGTTTAGGATCTAACTAGTTTTCTAGTGCTTCTCTGATTTTGAGGCTGATTATATGCCAAGATTTGTTGGTGATTATTAACCTGAACTTGTATGAAAGCTATTTATTTACAGCTTTAAAGCATGCATGATTATACTAACAAAAATTATTATGAAGTAAACAGATTAAATAATAGTACTGTGAACAGCTTTAGTATTCTGTCACTAATATTGTACTTATTAAATTGTGAAAAAGTAGTTATAAAATTTTAACTGTTAAAATTTTTAATCTTATGAATTTCTCTCACCCCATAACATTACAATTACATTACTTCTATAAATGCCATAAAATACATAAATTCCAGTTTTTGCAAATATTTTTATCTTTTATTACTATTATACTAAAAATAGTGATTAACCCTGGAAAGAAGCAAACAAATTGTGTGCCTCTGATAAATTAACACTTAGAAAACCTTAATAACAGATAGCTACCCTGAACAAGAAAACAAACAGAAAACTAGATTTTTTGCATGAAACAGTTAAGTTATGAATACAAAGAAAATTTAAAATGCTTTTCAGCAAATAATAATGATTACACAAAAGAGCCATGCTGCATTCCGGTTTAAGAATGCATAATGTAATAATAACTTTTATAAGAACTAGATTAAAAAAATTCTTATTTTATTGCCACATTAAATTTATTGTAGCAGAGAGGAACTAAACCCACAATATCTTGAAACATACCTGTAAATTAAAAAAAAAAATAATTTATTGCACTAAGTTGTCCATAGTATTCAATCACATTTTTTCTCGTTTACATATTTTAAAAGAATTTATTTATGCAAACACAATACACAGGGAAATAACTAGCATGAAATTTCAATGCAAAGAACATAAAGATAATACTCACGCTTGACATGCTGGGATCTTATCTACAGCCTCAGGAAAATACCTTTGCTTAATGTTGTGTACAAGTCCAACATCATTCATTGGCAGAGGCCTACCAGGATTCAAAGCATAATATTTGCTGCCAGACTAAAAAAGAACACATAAGCTTTTTTAAGAAATACAGAAAATACACCTAAATATGCCACACACACACACACATATATATATAATTAAAAAAAAAAAAAAAAAAAAAACCCAAACTATGAAAATGTGCTAACAATCATCGAATACTGAATTGTTTAAATTATTATAAGTAATATATTTATTGCGAAAACTTATTCTCATTAGCGATGGATTTTCTTATAAGTATTGGCAATAATAAATCTGTTAACTTACTCAATTATTTGATTTTACACTTTTCCTTAAACACAGATTATTTATTCATTTAGTACTTTATAAGTTTATAAGTTATTATAAGTGTTTGTGTTGAAAATGCTTTTGTTTAAATACAAAATGAACTAGCAATTGTGTCATTATTTATTCAAAAAATTAAACAGAAAAAGAAAAGGAGCAAAATAAATTTTAAGACAAGCTTTTAAAGACTTTTATACTAGATTAACTAAATTTAATAGATAGATGGATTTTATGAAAATATAATTTACAAATAGAAATTTTTTATTTATTTATTTAATTTTACTAAAAATAGAATTTAAAAATGATCAACAATGATTAAATGAGGAAATATTCATTAATGTTTTGATCATCAAGGGCTGAGCAGATAAAAAATGTCAAACACTAGCAATCCACGAAGAATTTTCTCAAAGTGTAACATGAGTATAAACAAATTTATCTGGAAAGATCCTCCATGAAGACATCCCTTCAAAAGCAGATACCTTTACTGTAAAATTACCTACACTAACCTATAATTTTATTTATATTTTTTATTTCTGTGAATTAAAATTAATAATTTTTAACTTGAAAATACAAGACACATTTTTCAATGTTCACTTTCATAAGTGTTCAATGACCAGAATTCTTTCTTTTAAAGTTCTTAACAGTTTGAAGATTACAAACATCACCAATAAAAAGCATTTCTCTCTTCTCAGTCTTTTCCCTCCCTCCTCTTTCTAAGTTCTTAAGAATTCAAATCTAATGTAGAATCCTTAAACACATGCATGAATATTATTAACAGAAGAGCTGGAAGATGAATTTATAGACAATCAGGAATTTTGTAAGCAATGGGAAAAGAAAACATGAAACATATATATTATTGCGATTCTTTTAAAAGAAAAATGCTATTTATAATAGCAAGAAGAAAAGTTTTATCTATAACAAAAGAAGAGAAACACATGTTGATAAAAGTAGATATTAAATTTTTGATCAAAAGCAGATAGCAAAAGGCTAATGTTAATGGCATAAATGTTCATTCGCAGTCTGCTATATCTTGAAACAGAAGTTTCCCTCCTTTTGTAATTAATAATGAGGGAAAAACTTTATGTCATTAACTTTCCTGTTAAAAAACAGTTGCAATATTTCCCTAGAACGTCACACTTTTATTAATTCGCAAAACTGCTGCCTGGATTCTTTCTTAACCCAACTTTGAAGTTATTATTATTTTTTTTCCCTTTCAAGATTTAAGATTCACCTATCTTAAGATATGCATTCTTGGCAATTTATAACAATACTTATCAGTAGGGTTTAATAGATGCTTATAAAACTATTGGGGTTTTGATATTTTGCTCTAGAGAATATGAATTTCATGTCAAAAATGGGAGCATTAAAAAAATCTCCTATAATTAATCAATATTAGTCTATTGATAATTTTTCTTCAACTAAAATTATAATAAATAGCTATTTATTTTATTTACTATGGCATAGCTAATAATAATAATAATAATAATAATAATAATAATAATAATAATAAAATAATAATAAAACAGCCATATATCTTAGGAGAAATTTTAAGAAATAAAGAAGTATATGAATGTAAAATATAAAAAATAGGACATTTTTGGTTTGGTTTATTTAATTATGGCAAAGCACATGAGGGCTATCTGCCTAAAGGGAGGGATGCCTTCATGGAGGACTTTCTAAGGGAAACTGGCTCGTATACACGTTACACATGGAGAAAACCACAAAAGCGCCCATGCAGCCAGCACGTTTGCGGGATTTGAACCTTGGACCAAACTACCAGTGTTCAGCAAATTTACCGCTTAGGCACAGGTGAGCTAAAAAAATAAGACGGCTTTGCTCTATGCGAATCAGCAACCTTTAATTAACTTTCTGCAATTCAGGATCTTTACCTTAGACCAGTACTTCCCAGAGCATTCTAGCTATTATGTAACCGCTAGTATAAATAACAAATGCATGCCCTTTTGTGAACAGAAGCTCACCTCTCCTCCTATGCTATACATCTCGTTGCTGCTTAACCTATCTTTCTCCTTTGTTAGAAATAATGATGATGCAACTTGAAATTCAATCATACTTAGTTTAAACCACTATTGAATATGTAATTTGGAGAATTTCATATGAAGTAAAGCAGTGAAGTAAAGCATGATCTACAGTGGAAATTGAATTAAAGCTATGAAATAAAGATGTGCGCTTAAAAGCTAAATCATCTTGTCTCGTCATTTGGATTTGCCTTACCACTCTGAAAAAGAAATGCCTGAACTTTGATGCCAAGCTTCATCACGACTTCTGGAAATTATTGCATGAATATTTAATGACAGTAAAGTTGAGATTAAAATTCATTTGTTTCTGATGAGAATGCAAAGTAAATATTTAACTGAATATAATATTTTACTATGGTATGAAAAGAGAAATCTCAAAAAATCAATGATACATTTGTTTTTATGCTCACAAGTAACCAGTATAGTGAATGCAGATCTAAACTAATATTATTTAACTAGACTGTGTGGTTTATTTAATATTTAAACCAGCATAATTATTCAGTACAGTATGATAATTAAACTCCTTCCCCTTATTCTGCCACTTTATTTGTTAAAAACCCGATTAGAAGATGCTTCAAAGTTTAAGAGCAAAAATATAAAAAGGGGGTACATTTTTGATTAAATACAGTAATTACTAATATATCCTATCTCATCATTTCAAAAATAGACAATTAACTGATTAAAGCAAAGCATATGCAGTTCATTTGCCTATGAAAAAAATGCCTTCATAGATAGCTTTCTAAGAGAAATGCACTCTAACTTACTTTATTTATGGAATCAAACTACCAATGTTAGCCTTTTTTCTACAATCTAACTGCTAGGTGCAAAATTTATTAAAATCCCAATCCCCCTTTTCAGCTTTGATCCACAGATTGTCCTATACCTGTTTATTTTGTATACACATATGAAATACTGAATAATTCAAATAAATGATACAAAAGGAAATATACCTGTGATTGCTGTAATGAATTTTATGTTACAAATTCAGATATATGAAAATGTAACTTCTTAGTTTTCATTTGGTAAGAATGAAATGCACAGTAAAGGCACTAATATTCAAAATGGCAGCATTAACAAGAGAAAAGGCTCATTGTGTGCTAGAATATGCAAAATCGATATTGTCGACCAGAGTTCAGAGATATTTACAGATTAAATTTATTACAAAAGCACATTTCCACCATAACATCACAAGGTGAGTGAAACAGTTTGTGTAGCTGAGCTCCATATACAAGAGAAAAAGTATAAACAGTGACTCATTAACAATGGAATGGAGGAAAATATTTGTATGACTTGCTTATAAAGCCCAAGTTAATGTATCGTGCTGCAGAAAATATGTTTATGAATTCTAGAATATAACAAATTTTTACTTTAGCTGATGCTACCATTTTGGATATTATCACCTCCCATGAACACTTCAAAAACAAACTTTTTTTATTGCTGTCAAATGAAGATTGGGAAGTTACATTTTCTTCTTATATACACACTTGTGAAATAAATTAATTACTGCAGTCCCAGGTACATTTCCTTTTTGCGCTATTTATTTTGAATTAACCTGTATAGCTGAACCCGGTAGAACATGGCTTTTTTTCATTAATCCAGTCAATTGCCTATAAGGTATCATCTCCATCCTTTCCACATGTCTTCGTGGTGTAATTGGAAGCATACTCAACACTCAACACATATTCAAGAGATACAGGGTTTGAGTCCCAGTGATGGCACTGCAAATTTTTCACATCTCCTGCTTTAAAAAAAAACTCTACAAGTGGAACCCAAACTCAAAGGTGGTGAACGATAACTCATCACTACCAGGATTTGACAATTTCCTAATCCCTAGTTTCCCTTTAAAAGGGGCAGTAAATTAGAACTTTTCTCAATCTTTTCTGCATGCCTTCATAGTGTAATTGGAAGCATACTTGACACATATTCAAGAAGTTCAGGATTCACGTGCCGGTAAGGGCAGTGCATATTTTTCATGTCTCCTGCTTCCCCCCCACAAAAAAAATTAATGCCTCTACAGCCAAATGTGCACTAAAGCAACAAATGCGGTAGCTTAGTTATATCATGTCATGAACACCCATGCAGTGATGGATATATATATATATATATATATATAATGTTTAATATGCACAATGCCAAATTAATAAAATTCTCTGATTTTTTTAAGTGAAAATAGATTATTGTGCACACAGAGAGAACAACAGTTTTCATTCTTCCCATGTACATAGTGAAGTTTTTGCTTTAAAAAAATCAGAAAATTGTATAAATTCGACATCACACATACACTTATCCTTGCATACATTACACATTATACATAAAATAGTTACTCTTTTCATGAAACTTTGTATATCACTACAGTTGCTGCCATGGAGGTAGATTTAATGCCAACATTATATTTCACTGTTAACAGAAAAGTACCTAAATTAGTTTTTAACAATTGATTAAAACACCTGAATCAGATTGTTTAACACTACATGCAGCATTTCTCTGAAATTATTAATATTGAGAGAATTTTTTCTACACGTAAGATTATTTTATTTGCTGTACATACTGCCTACATTAGGAATATAATAAAAATGCTCAAGACAATTAATTATGATTAAAATCTGTAGTGCAGAGACAGTAAAAACGATCATTATTGTTAGAGAGTGGCTAATATAATCATGTTTTATAACTTGTTTTTCATACTGAGAAATATGACAACTGATTTTGAAGAAACTGCCATTCAAGATATATTTGATTACTTTTATTTAAATAACTGAAGTTAATTATGACCATCATTAAGATCTGCCATCTTATTAAAGTCTGAGTGTGGTAAAAGATCAACTAACCAGACAGCTTAAGTAACTGGATTATTTTAAAATTTTAGATTATTTTTTTATCAAAAATTTAGCAGTTGAGAGGAAAGCCATTATATAGCAAGTACAACACTACAACTCAGAATCCTGCTTATAACATCTCAAATGCGAATACAATTAGATGACTCTCTGATGTTGATTATCTCCCACCGTCACTCTTATATCAATCACAGAATTCATTCTTGGAAGTGTGATGGATATAATAATTCCAAGAATTTATCATAGGAACTGAATACTCTTCTTAGAAAGAGAAGTGAGGAGTTATTATGGCATGGGAACATATGAGAGATTTAAGTGTTCATGCACGGGAACATATGAGAGATGTTCAATTTGCCTATTAAAAGAATTATGCTTAATGCAATGCGGTAAGCTTAACTAGACAGTATGCTGATCATTTCTAACACACAACACACAGATACTGTGATCAGACAGTGTGATTTGGCCCCAGTAATCTATAAAAGTACTGTCACAATACAATAATAAAATCTTTCCTTTGGTTTTATCAAAAACCTAAATAATTTTTGATACGCCAATTTAGTTTTTGTAAGAGAGAATATAAGTTAACTGCTACTTTGTTGTTTTTCCCTCACATTTTGAAAAAATAATTAAAACTTGGGACCTGCTTCAATGGAATGATATGCATTAATGGGTACAATATGTGACCTTAACTGCTAATGGATAAACAATGGCAATGCAACATGAAAATTACTCAAGCATATGATACAAAGTCTGAAATCCAAATGTTCAATATCCAGATCTTCAGACCACCAACCAAAATAAATAAATAAGTAAAATAATAAAAAAGTCCTCTCTTACGAAAACTACAAAAGGATAATAACAAAACAAGGCAGGTGTGCTATAAAAGTGATTTATTTTCTACAGAGTAACTGAGATTCCCGCATGTTACTTTTAAAAACCCACTGGCTAAACAGTCCCACAATGGCCATAACAATGCAACAGTTGATGTCCAGAATCACACATTAGGTCCTTGAGTGGTTGCTATAGAGGGCAGGGCTGGCATTACACATTTGGTGGCCTGGTGCAATTATGGTGAATCCTAATTTTGCTTCTTGATACCTCTCTCTAAAAATTTTCCAGCCGCTACATTCTATTGCTCAGTACCTTTCCTAAATTCAAACAATTCAACCACCCCTGATTGTTGTTGCTTGGTGCTCTTCTAAATTCTAAAATTTTTGCCATCTCTAAATTCTGACACCTTTTTGCATCACACCAGCTGTATCTGCTCTGGCCCTGTATTAAGTAGAATTAGCATTTTTTTATATGACCTAAACAGTAAGTGAAGTCTGAATGTTGATATGTCTACATATCATCTTAGTAGATTTAAACTGATGATCTAAAATCTGGTAATTTCCAAAAATCCAGAATTGCTGTCCCGATGAGTCTGGATCTCAAGCATTACAACGTGTAATTAAATAATGAGCGATTAATTTCTCCAAATTTCTGCTGGAATGATTAGTGAAATTTTGATGGGATTTCTGCTAACTTTCATGATTCAGGGATTTCATAATCAGATAACATGTTTTACTTTCATACCTTTAAAGCTTCTTCAGGATGTTAAGAAAATACATCAGCTTTTATATCTGAAATGACTTCTTTTTAAACTTACATAATGTTAAATGCAGGCTTTTAATATCCAAACTGATAACAAATAAGATGACTGTTTTTATAATTATAGAGCAGAAATTTCTTTTTCCATTCATTTGACTTTTCTCCTATAACCTGCATTTTTTATATGCTAACAATTGGAATTTTGACATACTTGGAATTTCCTATTTCCCAAGCTTTCCAAAGAGTCAAGCTTTTATTGTACTTTTCATTAAAATTCTGAATGCTTACACGTATATAATAATATTACGATATCATATACACATAACATTATATGTATGAAATCAGTATTTCTGAAATTCTAATATGATAAAGACTATGCTACTTATGAGTTACATACTACAGAATTTATAAGAATTTTGCTTGTAATTTTCAATTAAATATTGAAATTACAAAACAGAACTAATCTAAAATAAAAACAGTTAATGGTATTCTCCCAGTACATGAATTACCTTACTTAACTGTGTAGTTACCTTATGGATTGACAGGTGGCACCACTAAAACTATTGTTTTTACACATTTTTTTCTTCCACCATTTTATTCAAATCTGCATGATCAGATTTATTATTTTTTAATATTAATAATTTTTTATGTTTTGCAAAATATTTATTTATATTGCTGTGTTTTATGCTGCATGTAAGAAAACTTTCAGTGTGCAAATAAAAGGATCAAATACTTTTTTAAAAAAAATTAGATTAACTGGTTTAAATATTTCAATGAATTACTTGATATTACTATAACTAAAAGTGAGCTCCTTTAAATGTTACGGATATACATTATATCAAGAATTTTGTGCATACAGTGAATGAAACAGATAAGAGGTAAAACAAAATACACCCAATTTTGTACTGCTATAGTTAGCTGTTTGAAAACATACTTACAAACAATTTGCTGTAATATGATTAATTTGAGTATTCAAAACGGGAGATAGTGAATTTAAGAGAGATAAACACTGTTGCCTTCATTTGCTTCTTATTTCAACTCTTAGTAATGTAACCATGAAAAATATAAATTTGTATTTAAGAGTAAATTCATAACAAAGATTCAAAGACGACATTTTAAAAACTCCATGTGAGCTTTGTTCTTTGCAAATTCAACAGAAAAATTGCATGTGTAAGAAATACTAAGCATAAACATTGCTTTTATAAACAAAATAGCCCAAAAAAGATGTGGTGCCATCTAGTATAAAACTGATTAATTAACTAACAAAATCTGGTAGATTGCCAGTTAAGACAATACCCAGTTAATATTGAAAAACTGAGCACCATGTTTTAAAAATGAATTGAACTTTGTTTTCGATAACTTCAAGAAAATAAAACACTTGTAAAGACTACAAATGTGGTATGTCATAGCTGTGATTTTATAATCTTTTTATGGTTTTATTATAACTTCAAAATGAAGTTACATGAGTGGTTTATTATATTATTGCTAAATATTATGCAGATGCTATACAGCTCATCTTTCTTGGATATTTTACTGTGGTCCTACAGATAAATATCAAAAAGAAATTACAAGACAATTAAAACAAAAAAAAAAAAATTATGGTTACGTTACTTTCTGGTATCATGAACACTAACAAAATTTTTTAAAAAATGATAATAACAAAGAAATTATAAAAATACAAAGCTGACTGCTATTAATTTGCATTAAAAAAAAGCAGTGCAAGGGCTGTTAATGACACAACAACTTAAAAACAAAAATGAAGCTTTTAAAATAACAAATAAGAAATAAAATTATTTAAATTTATAAAACAAATACAACAGTATTAAAAAATAGCTTTAAACCAGTCTACAAAATGTTCAATACTTAAACTTACTTTATAATGAGGTAAATGGCGAAGTTGAACACACCATGCGTGTCGTCCAAATGGACCTCTGATAAGAGATGTCAAAGTTGGTTGAGGATCTATACACAAAAAAATTGCATCAATTCCAAGCAAAATTAAATAACTTTAGACCATTCACATAAAATACTGTTACGAATTTTATATATATGTAAATAATTTTAGTGAAATGACATGTAAAATTGCAATATCGCTTTTATAATCTAGCATGAAATGCTTTGAGAATGTGGAGCTCCACCAGAAAAATAAGAATACATGTCAAGTCCACTTAACATTAAGGTAAATGTCTATCTTGCGAAATTGGCCTGATAGCAGCAACCTGGCAATGGTTTTGGTGAATAATTTAAGCTCCTAATTGGCAATAAATCACCAAAAGTAGCCAAACAGTGACATTTTGGTCTGATCCCTGTATAATGGTAATTGGTCTTAACTGTAACTGCACCTGGCCCTATATATAACTGTATATCTGCCTTCCAGTAACTTTGAGAAATTGAAAGTACTGGAAATATCTCAGCAGTCAGGGAGAAACTGCATAAGACCAAACAGCATCAGTTGTCAGATTAGTTTTTAGTTCAGAGTACTGAGTGATCTGCATGTGAGCTTTGTTCTTTCAGATATATTTGTAATACTGAATTCTTGTATTTATGATGATGACTTTATTATAGGAAAAGACAGTGTATAGAAGGCTCTAAGCTTATCACACAAAGTTAAACAAATTATGATTGAAGCAAATATGAATTTGCGTAAACGGGTATCTAATGTTCCTGAGCTGATGAAAAGACAGGAAGAAGAAGGGTTTGAAATCCATCCACATAAAAATCAGTGACTCATACGAGACACTTAAGATCTTAGGAATGTTCTGGGATACTAATGAAGACAGTCGGATTATAGACACAACTAGTTTGATAGAATTTCTTAAACATAAGCATAATATGAAAAGTATCATCTTAAAACCTGCAGGGAAGATTTTTGATCCTTTTGGGTTAAAAATTTAATTCATTGTTAGATTAAAATTCTTACTACAAGAATATTGGGTTCAAAAATTAACAAGGGATGATGAATTACCTATGGATATATCTCAAGAGTGGGCAAAGTGGTGGTGTGAGTGTCATTATCTAAGTAAGATTAAAGTTCCTAGATTATGAATCCCAAAGCTGATTCTATAGAGATCCATTGCTTTTAAGATTCCAGTCAGAGGGCATATGGTCCTGTTGTTTACATAAGACTGTGTAAAAAAGAGCAAATTTCTGTGAGTTTTGTTGCTTTAAAATGTCATGTTGCACCTGTAAAAAGAGTTACATTGCCTCTTCTTGAGTAGAGTTACTCGGAGCATTATTACGAGTAGTAGAACCTTTAGGTTCTGAGGTGAAAATGTTGTTTGACCAAGAGAAATCCTCAACAATATTTTATTGGACATACGCCAAAATAGTGCTATGCTGGAATAAAGGTACCAGCACCAAATGGAAATCTTTCATGAACAACAAAGTTAACTAGATAAGAAAGTTACCACAGCTGAGAGACTGGTTCTATAGTACAAGGGAAGACAACTCAGCAAATATTTTGACCCGTGATGTTCAAACTGACTTTCTTGTGAACAGTTCCAAGTGGTGGTCATGCTGTGACTTTCTAACACATCCAGAGATTCCTCATCAGGACTTATAAACTGAGCTTGCTCAAGAAGTGTGTCCAAACGAACTTAAAAAGAATAATGAAGTGCATAGCGAATCTAACTTAGTTTTAATTGCATTTAGTGAACAAAACCTTTTTAATGATATTCTTAATTTGTCTGTTAATTATACTAAATTTGTTCATGTTGTAAGTTTCATTTTCAGGTTTACCAATATTTGTAAGAATCCCAAAGTAAAGAGATATTACTTTACAAGAGATAAAATGTGCTGAGGCATAGATTTTATTAGAAGCAAAAAAAAAAAAAAAAAAAAAAAAGTGAGTTTGTAGGAATAAATCAACTAAGAAGGGGTCAGTGTGTTCATCCCAAAATTAAACTAGCATCCCTGAATATCTTTCTTGATAATATAGGACTAATTAGAGTGAGTGGGCAATTGTCCCATTGATTCTTAACTAATTTAACAGAAATTGAGGGAGTATTGAACTCAAGACCTCTCTCCAATTTCAGCTGATTGCAACAATTTTGAAGCTTTGACCCTAGGTCACTTTTTGGTCAGTAGACCTCTCACAATTCTTGCTAAATTAGATTAACCCAACACAAATGAAAATAGACTTTCTAAATGGCAAAGAATTACTAAGTTCATACAAAAAGTCTGGAAATTATGGAAACATAATTCTCTTAATAACTTATAAGAGCGTCACAAGTGGAAATTTTTAGAAGATATTCTGTTTCGAACCTTTATATTAATAAAAATGAAACTTTACCTTCACCCAAATAGTTAGTGGGGAGAATAGCTGAGGTTTTTCATGGTAGGGATAACAGAGTAATAGTAGTAACTGTAAGATTGCTTAATCCAGTCTTGTTAAAACGAAATGTTTGAGATATTTGTCTACTTTTTGTAGAATGATTTCGTAGATCTCCGTTATAAAAACTTATTTATTCCTAAAGTTTGAATAGCTGTTAACAGGTAACAGCTAAAAACATTTGCTGTAATGATTTAAATGTATATTTTTAGTATTATAATTTGTTATTGTTAGTATTTTATTATAGAACCTTTATATTTACATTCCTTTTGTAATAGCAGTTTTGAAATTGTTAGTTTAAACAGCAGGAGTTTCATGAAATAGCAAAAAAATACTGTTGTTAGTCTATCTCAGACGGGGAAGATCTTTTAGGAACAGCGCATGCATGTCAATTGTAACTAATGCTGATCGTCTTTAAAAATTGTTCTTTTTCTTTGTATTTGCTTTAATTTCTGTTATACTTCATTTTAGTTTTATTATAGTATTTCAGCAGAATACGAGGCAATGATTAGATAATTCAACAGTGATATATTTGAGTATCCATTCTTTTCTTTAATGGGATTGAGATATAACTTTGTTCAGCGAAACTAATGCCCGAGTGTTGTTATAGTAAATAAACATACTAAATTTCAAAAAGTGATTGCATTATTTCTATTATGTATTTATGTATATATCTATCAAAGGAATCAATTCAATCAGGTGTCTTTTACATTGCATTGTGCTTAACAGGTAACAGCTAAAACGTTCTTCATAGTTTGATGTGGTAACTACTGACTGTGTTTTGTCATAACAAGAAGAGCTGTATGAGTACTTTTGTGAGAAGTTCCAGAGATGTAAAGTGTTTCTATAGGGAAAATAACTTTTATAAAGTTATCAGTGGTTCTGTGTGCATTAATTTCATTACAAACCTGTATGCATATAATAATAAAATTAACTGAAATTAATTTGAAATGGAAAAAGCACATTAGATGACTTTAAACATACAATGAAACCTTTTATAGTCATCCACATTCTGAAATTATAACTATTTCTTAAAACATAAGTAAGCATTAAATATTATGTTTCCTAGGTGATAATTTCCACAAAAGATCAAAATAATCTGGTACTGTGAGTGATCATCACAGAAAGTTTCATTCGATTTGTTGTTTATTATTAAACTATAAGCAGTTTAGTGATCTGACATATTAAGACACTTTCAATACAATGGTTCTGAAATGCATACTAAAGGTATTTGCATTCATGACAATTATTTCATTACAGTTTTGGTACTCATGGCAATTTGGGCAATTATTATCCATATGATGAGGCAAACTATATAAAAACAAACTAGAAGTCTGTAATAAATGACTCAGACTATGAAAACATACAAGTCATAGTTAATGGCATTTATATAAATTAGACATCCACATTAATACTGTTATAATTAATTATTAGTGTTCCTTAATTTCTAAAAGTTAATTCTGAAGTTTAATCCAGGATTAACCACTATCTCAATCACTTATTATAAAATATACGTAACACTGATATAAAGTATTTTAAGTGAAAATCATAATTGAAAAATAAGTCTGCATAATTAAAACATAATATGATGCATAATCATTAATTTTAACTTTTCAAAAGATGAGTTTCACATAAGTGCAAAAATATGATTAAACAGTTAACTGCAAATATATTTCTATTTTAAAATAAAACAACATAAGATAGTAAAAAATACAAAGAATATACAATATGATACAAACTTTCACCTTGCTCATTTCCCAAATGCTGTTCAAGAAGAGCCAAAATAATAGAATTGTCCAACGCAAAGTATCGAAAATGCTTTACAACTTCTTCTTTTGTGAGTTCATCATCATTTAAATTTTTACATTGTTGAAGTAATGCTTTCTCATCCAAAAGTGAAGACAAATTTTGTGGACCACATGGAGGAGGAAAATAACCCTAGAGAAAAAAGCAAGAACACATTTTTATTAAAGGAAATTTATTGTTGTTTAAGACAGGTGACTCAAACTGGTTGCCAACAGGCCCCATGTGGCCTCTGAAGCAATTTTATGCAGCTTAACAATACATTTCAGTTATGTATTTCTTTTCATATAGTAGTTGTAGATTTCGATATAGCATATATTCATTGGGCAGTGGATCACAATGTAGTGTTTGTTAAGAAAACAAAAAAGCACTAGCAAACGTTAAAGCAGTCATTGCATTCCAAATGAGTTTCAAGCAGGTGATGGCACAAAGCTTAATGCATATACAGGTATAATAGTCCTTTGACAGACCCAAAAAAGAAGCTAAGGGGAGAAAAAGACATTAATCATCATATCACAGGAAATGAAAATTTAAAATATATCTGGTTGTAATGAAAACTTTCCATCAAAAAACATTTGTAATAAAGTTAGAAAAAAAAACATGAAAACAGTATCTTTAGTGTGGGTAGTAATCAGCACTCAAATCTATGATTTTCTGCCAATATTTTGGTAGTTTCTCAAGGCCTTCAGCCTGGAAACTTGGTGGCTGTGAGTCCAAAAACAGATCAGCCTCATTTTGGACGTCGTATGGAAAATGAAAAATAGCATTGGTGGAAAGGCAACTCCAGATCAATAGCTCTATAGAGATCACAAGTGAATAGTTGTACCCAACTCTTATTTCCATCCCTTAAGTGTAGAGGACCAGCTAAATCCACTCCAGTTACTTAAAAAACTAATGAGTCTCGAACTCTGTCTTCCGGTAGTGGAGTTGGTTCAGTTTCGATTTTCTACAAAGAATACCTTTCACGCCAAAAACATTTTGTGATAACTGTTCCTTACTACCCTAACTCTTTTCGTTCTGCTCAAAACCCCAAAACACTAATGAATGGCAGCTAGAACAACTTGCACTCCTCCATGCCACAGTTTCAGGTGAATATTCATAATTTTTTTTTTTTTACAAAGTCATGATCTAAAGGCAAAACAATAGCAGTTACAAAGACTTCTTCATCTTCTCTTTGAATAATTTTTGTTTTTAACCTAAGCAATCCATCATCATCTAAAGAAACATTACATGTTTCTAATTTGTCACGTATAAACTTTTCATTGAAAGCTTCCTTTTGAAAAATTTTCACATGTATCTTTTCTGAATTTTTCTTGTACAGACAACTCTCCCTTCAGTATATTTTGAAAATTTTTACAGTTATTGTAGAATAGCAATATTCAGGCTATTAGTCACAATATCTGTGAATATTTGGAAAATCGTTTTAAATATCATCGCTTATCCGACATGGAAGTGTTATCTAAAATAGTTACTCCCCTTTTCCGCTATTAGTAAACTTCTTCACTATTGGTTTGAATCAGAGATTTGGGACAGTTGTTTTTGGACTACTTTTAGCCACTCTTATCCCCCCCACCATTTCAATGTAAGAAGAGCAACATTTTGGAGAACAACCTCTGGATGGGAAGTCTGCCAGATTATGACTACCAGGAATATGCTTCCATGTATCCAAAGAAATGATACTTCAAATTTCTTTAACGAAAGTACCCCAATTATCTTCATTCTTAATCCAAAAACAAAGTGGTTGAAGAATTCGTTGAACATATGGTTGGGACTTCTGTCAAATTCATTTTGCTTCTAATGTTATATGTAATTCATATTTCTATACTACAGGCTAATAATTCTAATCTGGGAATCGTTATTTTTATCAAGGAAACAACTCTGCTCTTAACTTGAAGTAAATTAACTTTGACTACATCACTGTTTTCTTTATGAAGAAATACAACTGTGCTGTAAGCAACTTAGCTAGCATCTACAAAGATATGAGACTTAATCCTTCTCGGAAACTGTCAAAATCAACGTAGCTTGGAATTTTAATTCTTGATAATAAATGAAGGGCTTCTGTTCACAGTGAATATCTTTTACAAACATTTTCAGGACATACCTCATCTCAGCCTAATTTGAGAGTCCAGCTTTCTTGTAATTAATATCTTCATGCAGATAGTTACTTTGACAACACTCCGAGGAGGTCAAAAAAACTGTGGACAGCTAAAAGAATATTTCTTCTTTCTACAGGTTCTTTCTTAAGGAAAATATTTTTCTAAGTTACAAAAAAGGACATCTTTATTTTTATTACACAATAATCCAAGAACAGAAGAATTCTTTTCCCTTTTATCTCCTGTTAAAGCGATATATTCCCGTCCATGTAAGTCAAAACATAATGAAGCTACAATTTGTTTAGCCTCATGTGCAAATTGCAGTATTTCCTTTTCATCAGATTCAGATATTACAAAGTTAACTACATAAAAAGCATTTTTTAACTTTCGCACAGTTTCTGGAAAATCAACACTACATTCCTTCAGATGAAAATTAATCACTGCAGCTAAGAGGAATGAATTGCATGTGAGTCCAAAGACTACCCTTTTATGACGATAAATTTTCAATTTTCTTTTCTTAGAATCTTCCCACTTTAAAAATCTCAAATAGTCTTGATCTTCTTCAGAAATAGAAATCTGTAAGTATGCTTTTCATAAATCCAAAATGACGCAACTTTTCCCAAAACCTCAATAAGTGGAAGAATTTTCTCTAAGAGGTCCTTTCTCTAGAACAGCGGTGCCCAACCTTAGGCCTATCGTGAGCACATTTTGGCCTATTACAAGCACATTTAAGAAACATCAACATTTTTGTTAAACTGCTTTATTGACAAAAGAAGTTCTACAAATCGTTTAAGTACTTTTCTCCTGCTGAGCCATCTAACATCGGAATGAAGCAATAAGATTCCATGTTCGCTATCAAGTTCATCAGCCAGCAATCAATTGTTTTATAACGTCTTGCAAGATATCTCTTATGACTATAAATGCTTACCATATTTTAACAATTAAGAAATATGAATGAAAGGTTATTTTAAAAATATTTTTTGTTCATAGTACCTAATCAGGCTGGCGAGCACATACAAAACGATCGGCGAGCACACTTGTGCTCCCGAGCATAAGGTTGGGCACCGCTGCTCTAGAACATCATCGAGTGATGGAGAATGACTGGACCTACAAAAAGCACCGAAAACAAGTTGAATACTAGAGATGGTGTTTTTCTTGAAAACACCTCAATGGGGATAAATAATAGCATGGAGTTTCTATCGAGGTGAGTGCAAAAGTTCTACCCGTTTTTGGATATGCAAATCTGTAATGGAATTAACGTAACACTAACATTGCAATGATGAAAATTGTCAGTCAATCGAACGTGTGGATGCCTCACATATAAATACATCATGTCTTGCATAGTTAACCATCTCAAAAAAATTTCTCAGAAGGTAAAACATGGAAAGCGAGAAGGAGAATATAAGACACTGTTTATTATATGAGTTCGATAAAAAGAGTACGGCAGCCGCAGCATGTTGCATGTTTGTCAAGTTTATGGGGAGGATGCAGTAGGCAAAAGCACATGTCATCGATGGTTTCGTAAATTTAGGGAAGGAGACAGAAGCTGCCAAGATCAGGCTAGGAGTGGATGGCCATCACAATATTGGAGAAGACAATATTGACTAAGCCATAAGGAACAACCCGAACCCAATCGTGCAAGAATTAGTGGAGAACTTCAATGTACACTGGACAATGGTCGAGAGACGGCTGTCTAAGTTTGGTTTTACAAGAAAGTTGGATCGTTAGATTGCACATAACCTGACAACTAGTCAACGGGATGACCAAGGGATGACCAAATCGCAACCCGTGTTTCCTTGCTTTCCCGGTACAGAAACGACCCATTCTTTACATGAATTGTGACAGGAGATGAGAAGTGGGTTATGTACCGTAACATAAAGCATCATAGGACTGTGTGTCGCCCTTCTGACCTGCCTGCATTGACTTCAAAAGTTGAACTTCATCTCAAGAAGGTGTTATTGAGTGCATGGTGAGACATGCAGGGAATAATTCGTTGGGAGGTCCTGCCACTCAACCAAACCACCACTGCTGCCTTCTACTGTCTACAGTTAGACAGACTACATTAAAATTTGGTAGCAAAGCGGCCAGGTATCATCAATCGTCGTGGTGTTATCCTTGATCATGATAACACCAGATCACATGCTGCTATCATCACTTGCCAACAGTTACTCAGCTTCGATTGGGAGGTATTACCCCATCCTCCCTATTCCCTTGACTTGGCACCAACTGATAATCAAATATTTCGCGCATTGAACAATTCCTTCAGTCAGAAAATCTTTGATGATCTTGATGCTGTGAAAACTGCCATCCAAGATTTTTTGATTCGAAACCATCGGAATTTTACTCTCGTGGGATTCATCTCCTACAGAAAGATGGCAAGAGGTCATAGATAACAATAAAGATTATGCACAATAATAGGTACTGTTCATTTTGTGTTTTATGGTAATAAAAATGGGTAAAACTTTTACACTTACCCAATAGTTCTTTCTACCTCTTCAATAATATTCTCTGCTAACCATTCCTAGAAAACTGCATCATAATCTGCATATCCGCCTTCTTTAATAAGTTTCCCCCACAGTTGCCTCACAGCTGCACTTTGCAACCAATCTATTTTCCATCAAAATCTCCTGTTCTTCTAACCAAGGCAGGTTTATGAAGTATCAACATTCTTTATCTCGTTCTTACCATTCGCTGGAACTGCTACATAACTAATTGATCTGTCTCTTCTTGAACTTTCGATTATGTCAAAAAGAGTTTACGATTCTGGAGCTGCCAAAGGATCTACAAAGCGAAAGCATTTTTCGATGTCCATCAAACAAAAAGTGGAATTGCTGCAAAAAATGGATAAAGGCATATCCTTTGTTTCTCTAACCATTCCAAAATCTGTTTATCAATTTCCCGCAGCTCTGCAAGGGGGTCGGAAACATCGCGGAGCACAATGAACTGGAAGTAGATCTGTCAGTACTATCCTCATCTTCAGGACAGATGTTTTTATTTTATTCGGCTTATAATTCCTTACTAAGTGTAGTATTTCATCTCAATGTACTCCGTCTTTGATATGATTTAAATCAAACTCCTCATCATTATAAATATCACGAATACACATCAAATAGTTTTCTGGTTGCAATTTCCTAATTTTGATTATGCGTAATGTATGCTTTACGCATGCACGTTGAAAGAAATGCTTAATAAAGTAAAGAAATAAATATTAAGCTTTTTTTTTTTTTTTTTTTTTTAAATTTTGATACCCTTTAGATCATAATTGCTCTTTATTCCATAAATTACGGTTTCATATTTTTAATTTTAGAATTTCTGCATGCCATCTTAACAGATTTAAACTGATGATCTATAATCCGGATTCGGCGAAGTCCCGATGAGTCCTGATTAAAGATTTTGTACTGTGCATATATATATAAGTATCTCCTATTCACAAAATAAACAAGCCTATGTTTTGTTTTCGCTTTTCAAGAACTCCAGAAAATAAGTCTACAATAAAAGTAAGAAATAAAGTAAGAAAATGAGTTTTAGTAAAATTGGCTATAACAGATGAGTGTTTTTTTACTAACAATTCCATGTTTAAAAGTTTAGCAATATTTACCTTTAAAAATCCAATGAAATGATGCCTTAGTTACTCATTAATGTTGCGTTGAATCTACCTGAATATTATTTCATTCAGATGTTCTCACCTTTAAATTAATTCTGAATTCATTCAATAATTTGTAATAATAAAATAAAATAACATTTAAAATAAACAATGTATTTTCTCACTATAGAAAAAATCCAAAACCTTTAGTCCATATGCCTTGTTACACTTAACCCTTAAATGAATGTAGTTGCCATTTGACAACATTCATATTTTAGACCACAAAAGCCTCCCTTCCCTTACGCAGATAACCCTCAAGTACTTTGCCATTATGAACAAAAAAAAAAAAAACAAAAACAAAAAAAAAAAAAAAAAAAAAAAAACCTTTGGTGGTTTTTGCACGAGAATACAGCATTGGTATAGTTTGTTTTGCAACTACCTTATTTTGACACAGATTTTGTATGCTACAGGAAATGAAATTTTCCAATTAATGGAATTGTGAAGAACTTATAATAAATGATGATAATATAACAGAAGTTTTCCACTTTTGCTAATCTTGAAATCTTAAAAAACTGAGAGATTTTTGTGAGAAAACAGGGAAAAACAAGAATCTTTCATGCTGCATAGTTATACTATTTCAAAGGAACTCCAAACTCCCTTTAGTTCACTCTATAATACATGGTACAGGTTATTGAACAATTCGTAATTCAATTCTGATATAAAATATATTAGCATTTAATTGCATATTCTAAATTTTATGTTCTTTGGCTAAATTTATTTTTTAATTTTCTTATCTTTTATAGCGAAAAAATCCCTAGTAGTGAATGAAAACTTACTTATCAAAGTACTTTTAACTTTGGGTAAAATAAACCGAACAGTTCATGTACACACTATTTGTATGGATAAACTTACTAACGTACCATATATTGAAGTAATCAAAATTAAATACAAATATTAACTGATTAAATACTGATTGAATCTTCAAATAAAAGTCAACAAATGTCTACAATAGATGATCAGTAAAATGTAATTAAAGATAAAATTCAGATGAAATAAAATTTGATATAAAAATTACTCAAAAAATCATTAGAGGTAGGGAAAAGGAATTTGCCTAATTTAAGTTTAATTCAATAAATTTCATTCATTGCTGAAAAACATTTTCCTTAGTAAAGGCTAAATACTATTGGTAAAACTGGGAGATGTGATGAAAACCGGGATTATCCCAGTAAAATCAGCAGAGCTGGCAGCTAAGCTATTGCAAAGGCAATGCCCCAATCAAATAGTGGACAGTGAAATCTGTAGTATGGTTTTAAATCCAGTGAAAGGACAAAGAGATTTTTGGGAATGAAAAAATTTTGACTGATAGTTTAGTGGAAATTTTTAACCTAGTAATTACAGGATTTCAACAATGGAACTTTTAACTGAACAAAAGATCGTGTCTATCTATAAAATTAAAGTACCAGTAGAAGAAAAAAGAAAAGAAACAAATGATTTATACAAAAAAAAAAAAAAATGTTTAATAAAACAAACAAATAATTAAATACTGAGCTTTTTTTGTAAATCTGGATTCCCTTAGAGTTCTAAATGCTTCATAATTCTATAAATCACTGTTTAATATTTTTAATTTTATAATTTCTACATTTCATCTTAACAGATTTAAACTAATGTTCTAAAATCCAGAATCACTGAAATCCTAATAAGTCCAGGTTTTGGACTCTGTACTGTATTTGGTCCATTTCATAATGCAAACTATAGCAATGCTTTAAGTACTTTAATTAATTAAACATATTGTAAGGTTTACAATTTCCTACGAGAATATGTTTTTAGAATTGCGTTTAATGCAAATGAGTAAGAGTAGTATTTAAGTGGAAGTTCCACTGACTTCAAGAGAGAGCATCAGAGTTTCTGACTAGTGCGCCTTTGCCTTTTGGCTAAGTCTCTAAGCTGTTACTATGCTTGGCAGTATTACAGGCCCTCGATAGCTTCGCTAGCTTATTTGATATTTAGGGGCCAAGTACTTAGAATTTTGAGAGCTTCGGCTAAATCTCTTTATTTAACCATTAGTTAAGCCTTATCTCTTAGTATTTTGATTTCAAGTCCAAATGGTGGTTTTGCTGTATGCCCTGAAAAAGAAATCATCTGTTTATTCAAATCTTATTTTGAGCAATAAAGGGTATTTAACCCTTCTACAGTTTACATCTCTGCTTCTGAACTAAAGCGATTATTCACTTAGTTGTTCACTAGGTTCCTTCACATTTAGTTGTTAGATAAAAGGGTGGAACCCCACAATACAGATTTCAGTATTTCTGAAAGCAATTAAATACTGCTCAAGTTAAGAAAAATATTTCATAAAAACTTATTTCTAAACTAGCATTTTTATATAAAACAAGAAATGTAACAGAACTTACAACATGATCCAGCATGCATGCTAATACAGCCTCAGCAGCATCCCTTACGCGCATAGATGCTGGTTTCAAATCTTTATCGCCTTTATACTTAGGTGGATCACTCCTTTTAGGCTACATAAAAAAAAAAAAAAAAAAAAAAAAAAAAAAAAAAAAAAAATGAAATAAATGATAAATTAATAAATAGATTTTTTTTTTTTTTTTTTACCTTATGCAATTGCATACTATTTCATGTAAGCAGACAGATGCAAGGCAGGTTTTATCTAAACACTTTAATTATCATAAAAGGAAAACCTTCTGGTAAAATACCATAAATAAGTGCCCATTAAAGCTTACAATTAAAAATTTTTCAGATGAATCACAATCAATATTACTCAGAAATATTCATTTTCATTTTCAAAGATAACTTTAATATCTAAATTTAGTTTATAAAAATTATTAGTTTCTTTTTCTTTTAACTTGTACTGCCTTCAAATAAGAAGTGCGAGTAAAAAAATAATTTACTTTTAATATGCAATGGAATATTATAAATAAATTATTTCCTTTTCCAATTTCAATTTCTACATACATTTAATTAAAAACGATTTAATTTGTTTGAAAATCAAAGAGTATGGCTTTTAATCACAATAAACGTATGCATGCATATAATTAAACAAACTGCACCAATAATTATACACTTTCTAAAATCAAAATGTTACAATTTTTTTTTATTTATCTTTATGCTCTCTCTCTGCCTATGTATGTGAGCACATATATATTTTCATATGCATAATACACTTACATGATGTTTCAATAAGAAATTTGCACAGATACATATCTCTTGAATGGTTGATCATAGATCCCTGTCTCCAGTTTAAGAAATAAATCAAATCAGGCAGGTCTCAGGCCATGATAATTTGGTCGTGTGATACTTTTTAGTAAAAATATAGCAAATTTTAACTTTGTACAGTCAAAAGTCTTTAATCCGGACGTGCATAATCCGGACCTCAAAGCTACAAACTTTCTGCGCATGCATAAAGCATTATGCATTTATGCATGCGCATATGCGTTTACATGTGCGCATAATACGTTTACGCATGCATGTTTAATGTACAACAGACCTTATAAGCTAAGGTAAAATTATCTAATTATCTATTTCAGTTAATGTTGCAGATTGCATTGTTGCTTAATCTTCTAATTGGATTTGGCTTATTATTTTTTTCAGACTGTTAGAGTAATATTATAAAAAGTAAGCTTGAACTTTCGATTATGTCAAAAAAAATTTCTAATTCTGAAGCTCCCAAAGGATCTACAAAGCGAAAGCATGTTTCGATGTCCATGAAACAAAAAGTGAAATTGCTGCAAAAAATGGATAAAGGCATATCCTTTGTTTTTCTAACCATTCAAAAATCTGTTTATCAATTTCACACTGCTGCGGTTTTGCAGCTGAGGATGGTGGTTTGGTAAAACCATTGAAACTAGACCTGTGAAAATTTTGAAAATATAATGCTGATTTTTGTTGTTTGACTTCTGAATTAGTATTTGTTTGGCATGTTATTGTGTCTTAATAAATACTATAGCTTAAAATTTAGCATTCGAAAACCTAACAATTATGTTTACTTAGTCTCAAGCAATATATACAGTCAAAAGTCGTTAATCCGGACTCGTCGGGACTTCGGCGATTCCGGATTATAGATCATCAGTTTAAATCTGTTAAGATGGCATGCAAAAATTACAAAATTAAAAATGTGAAACCGTAATTTATGAAATAAAGAACAATTATGATCTAAAGCGTATCAAAATTTACAAAAAGAAAAAGCTTAATATTTATTTGTTTACTTTATTAAACCCTTTTCCTTCAATGTAAGTTGCTTCGTTTCATGTGATAATACTTTCTCTTTAATTCCATTAAACAGACATAATTTCTTGTTTAGTTACAAAGTTCCGCTGTTCAAGTCCTATAATTGCTGTGTTGAGAATACCCACTAATTTGTCAATCGAAATGTTTTCGTTTTCAATAACCTCTGGGTCACTTTCTTCACTATCGGAAGCGAATTATAATGACAAGGAACTTGATTTAAATCATATCAAAGACGGAGTACATCGAGACGAAATACTAAACTTAGTACGGAATTATAATCCAAATAAAATAAAAACATCTGCTTTGAAGATAAGGATAGTGTTGACAGATCAACTTCCAATCCCTGGCGTGAAATTCATAAACAGATTTCGGATTTCAAAACATACTTTCGCTTTGTAGATACAAATTACATATTAGTAAATGTATATTGGAAATTCTATTTGACATAATCTTTCTAATCTATCATAATCTAATAATGACGTTTCTGCCCCCCCCCTTCTGCCGCAGAGCAGCGTGAAATTGATAAACAGATTTCGGATTTCAAAACATACTTTCGCTTTGTATATATCGGAAATTCTATTTGACATAATCGAAAGTTCAAGCTTAATTTTATAAAATTGCTCTAACAGTCTGCAAAAAATAATAAGCCGGATCCAATTCGAAGATTAAGGAACAACGCCATCTGTCAACATTAACTGAAATAGATAATTAGATATTTAGCTTATACCGTCCGTTATACATAAAACGCGTTACACATGAAAACGTGCGCTGCGTACAAACGCATATGCGCAGTCCGTAAAGGTCTTACGCGCTCTGCGTAAACGCCTATGCTCATGTGTCAACGCGCCGCATGCACAGAAAGTTTTTTGCTTTGAGGTCCGGATTATAGATCATTCCGGATTATGGGTGTCCGAATTAACGACTTTTGACTGTATATTAATTCCCTAAAATTTTCATTAAAGCTATCTTGGCTAATTTTATTCAGATAAGCCTTCCCATACATACACATGCTTTGGCTTTGAGTAGTTTTATTCAGACACCCCCCCTACCCATACATACACATACTTTGGCTATGTACGGATTTGTTCCCTCAAAAACTTAAGTTTTGCATATTTTTACTAAAAGAGGTATTATGTAACTAATACAGTCATACAGTAAAAGAGATCATCTTATTTAATCTTTTTATCAAATTAGAATCATAAATCTGCAACCAATTATTCAAGACAGATTTAATCATACAATCTTTTTTTTAATCTATATTAAAAAAAAACTATATATATATATATATATAATAATTTATTTCCTAAACAGTATTGATTAATTGATTATATTATCTCCTAAGTTTAATTAAAGTAGAATTATTTTAAAAGTGTGCATCCATACTGGTAAGTTATATTTTGAAAGATGTTTTGAAGTAATTTGAAAGCAAAATGTTAATAAATGTTTTAACGGGGACTGGAGTTAAATCATCACGAAGAATAATATTACAATTGTAAAAGTAAAATTAAACATGTAATTATTGTCATTGATCGGAAATTAGTTGACTTTTCAAGGGGAACAAACCAACTCCCGTTCAATGATCAATAATTGATAGAAATACGTAAATATGAAAGTGTTTCGTCTTTACTCGAGTTATAAATTAAAGCCAAACCGGCAATTCTAGTCAGGCCAAATATTTCCGCGAATAGTTGTTACTCAAAGAACTGATTCTCATGAAGCATTTTAGTCAATTCAATTTGGAGTAAAAAAAATCAATTACTGTAGAGAAAATCTTGTAAAACTCGAGTAAATCGTCCCCGACACTATCATCTTTATGTATTTGAGTACTATATTATTTGTAGAAATTAAACATTGGAAATTGTCATTATGAAATCGAAATCAAAGTAAAGTTGAAATAAACATAGAAGATTATAAAAAAGATAAATAATGCAAACTTTGCAAAAACAAATCAAAGAGAACATAAAAATAATATAAAAATAAAATAGAAAATAATATAAATAAGATCAGTGAATGTACATGAAGATATAAAGGCCAGAAAGGTATTAAGTAACTTACATTCTTTCTAGTGGGGGAGTTGGCAGTGTGTTCTCTTCGCACTAAATGGATTTAAGTTCATACAACATTATATATATATATGTGTGTGCCAACTCTGCATACAACACTAGAAAATTTTTATTAATATTTTGAAAAGGATATGTTTTTTAAAGAAAATATAAACTACACTTTGCACATTTACATCTGCTTTAATTAATATTAAGGATATACATTAACTATTTGTTTCCAAAAGAAAAATAAGTTAGGGCCTTGAATATTAATATACATATTTTGTCAGCTGATACTCCAAGGTGCACATTGCAATTTCACTGCTTATGTCACAAGGATTTTTGAATACTATTTTACTAATTTCACTAACATTATCTATAATATGAGTAAAAAGGTATTAAACTGACTTGAGATTTAGATCCGGATATTCCGAGTTCAACAACTTCAAGAACAGTGTGAACAGTCTCTTTATCATTCAGAAGATCAGGATGTTCAACAAGCCAAGTTGTAACACATTGATATGCTGCAACAATTGTTGAGTGTAAATCTTTCGAATGTGCAGGAGGTGGTCTTGAACACTGAAAGACTATATAATCACATATCCACTTCACAGCCCTCTTGCCCTCAAGGGAATCTGTTAAAAGGAAATAATTTTGAGTTTCTCAATGAAGCTATCTACACTGAATTCATGTCCTAAAACAATATTTCCCTACCCATGAAGTTTTGATACATTAGTACATCATTAAGCCCCAAAAGATGTATAACAAAATTTTCAAATTTAAATATGTATTCAATACCTTTCAGTAAGACTTAACATAAAATTTTATTAATAGACATTGAATTGTTTTATAATGAAACCAACTGCATCAACTAAGCATGTTTAGTTGACCTCTTCTGCAAACTGATGAAGAAAAAAAAAAACTATCAGAGCAGGAACAATTATCTTTACTTTCATTATTTATAAACAAATACAGCAATTCAGTCTGCTAAAATGACACACACAGAAAGGGTAATTGATCTCACAGAATTTTATTCTTCGTGGAAATTATATGATGAGTAGTTGCCTTCAGTCAGGTTTATACTAATCAGTTTCAATTCAAACTCAGCAAACCATATATTGATTACACATTAATAAAATACATGTATTAATAACTCAAATTCAACTTACTGAGTCGCAAAACTGTTTTCAGTTAAAAGCATCACTAGCTTCCAATGTGGACACCACGACTTCCATGTATGGCGTATTAAATTATACAAATTTTTTGCTACATTTCATTTAAACTTATTTCCTCAAATTTTATTGGGGATATATTTTTCATTCAATTAATTCAGTTCTCACTTTAGCAAAAATGCATAAAAACTCAAAATATCTTCCTTAAAAATTGAAAAATATGAAAAAACATAAAATGGCAAATACAGTTATAAAAAAAAAAAAAAAAAAAAAAAAAAAAAAAACACAATTTTTTTACAAATAAAATGAGAGTTTCTACGTAAAAGCAAGCAATTTGCCCAGCGGGCAAGAATGCAGATTTTATGGTGAACAAAACTGAAAGTTTACTTTTGGTCCCACTCAGAAAAAAGACACCGAAGGTTCAGAAACTGGCTTAATTCACTGTTCTGAAAAGTTTCAACATATATGGCTGCTCCGTTGGGCTTAGCTGCACCTCTGATAAATTTTTAATAATTCTACAACTATTGCAGGCAGAGCAATAGCTTTATGCTAAATTCATAAAAACCTTAACTGGAACATAAGAAAAATATGATTCAATCACTTTAAAGCAAAAAATGCACAATTTAGCAACATATAAGAATTAATAAAAACAAACCTGAGCTCGTCGAGCTGAGTAACAGAACGAATATATATATTTATATACTTTTGGTGCAGCCAATGATAAAAAAAGAGAGGTGCACAGCTACATGTTACAGCAGTCCTATATACAAAATTCAACATTCTGAGGCTACTCAGTTTTGAGTTATACGAGATACATACATACATACGCACATAAGTATTTATGCATGAAAAAATATCTTCTGAATCTATTTTAAATGCATTTTACAATCCGTTTTGGGAAAAAGAGACCTTTATTCTGTCCTTAGATTCAGATGTCACTCAAAAACATTGTTAAATTACATTCAATAGCAATCAAAATGGATATTTTCATTGAAATATGATACCCAAAATTTTTTGTTATTACAATACTTCCTTTACTTCGTACAAGGAAGTAAAAAAGGTTAGAAATAACTGTGATGAATTAATAAATAAACAGATATCTTCATGATATTTACAAATTTATAAACATAAATGCACGTAAGAAAAGGTACTGTTACAATAAACTGTCTTTAACATAACAAGCTTACAGATATATTTGTTAAAGATATAGTCCAAACCTGCTATAGTGAACCTTAAAAAGAACAAACTTTTTGATCCCATCCAGTTTCCTATAAACTTAACTCTCTCAGTGTCATGGATGTAAAAATAATTATAGAATGGTGGTTTTTGTATTCATTGCACATTAAACAAAAGCCTACATGACACAGTTGTAGCACTCAGTTCCTGGAAAACCAGAACACACAATAAACATACCCTATAAGATTCTATTAAGCCTAAGAATCGCTAATCAATAGAGACAAGAAACTTAATTCGATTCTTTGACTCCATTTAAATTCCTCAATTAAGCTATCAGACAGCCTCTAATAAAGCTGAGGTTTATTTATAATTCTGAATGTATATTTTAGATGGAAATGTACAGGTGAAGGGAAGGGTCTGAACCCTGAGTTTTGCTAAGAAATTTTTATGTAACATTATCAATACACTGCGAAACTGAAAATCAATGAAAAAGAAATTTAATAACTGCACATAATAATAACAGTAATTCATTTTTTTAAAATTAAAATTACTACTGATATTTTTTGGAAGATGTGACATTACTAATCACTCTTTAAATGTGATTTATCAATCAATTTTCGCATTATGATATGATCCATTTTTTCTTACTAGATCATTCATAATAAACTACCAGATACAATGAACTAAATTTTCAGTCCCCTGAAGTTTGTTACAATGGAATTCAACTGTAGTTGCAACTATTGGACTGAAGATTGTTGGAAATACATTATATACAATAGTAAATCATGCTTTATCATTTAGTAGCCTGGAGATGAATCTGAGTTTAGTGAACACAAAGGAAAATGTTACCTGTCCTTAACATTGAGCCAGCTGTGATGTTTGCTCAAGAATGCATAACAATATAAGATTATTCTCATATTTTAAGCCTGCTCTCATAATTCTTGAGAACTGATATGTGTGCTTAGAGCTTTTATGTCAATACTTAAAAGTTATGTAGTTGATTTATGACAACAGTTCACACAGGATTCTTGATCAACATAATTAATCCTCTCATTCACGAAATGAAGTGTAAGCAAGACTAGTTTCATGAGATGAGTAATGAAGAACTTGACAGTCCTCACTGAACAAATATATCCTAAATTAGAAACCTGATGTTATGTTAACTTTCTTAAAATTATGACGAGTAACTTATGAAGCAAAAACTCAGAACACTGTAGAAAATCTTCAAGAAGAGTCCAAACTGTTACAGAAGAAATGGATCAAATTCATATTAATACCTATCATAATATTTGGTTATTAAAAAAACAGAAGGCCATATAATATTTTGACCATATAATGCATTATCACATGAGTCAAAAGTCTTTAATCCGGACGTCCATAATCCGGAATGATCTATAATCCGGACTTCAAAGCTACAAACTTTCTGCGCATGCATAAACACATTATGCACTTATGCATATGCATAATACCTTTACGCCGTTCTAGGAAAAAAGCCCACAGGAATAATGCTCACAGGTATAAATGCTCACAGGAAAAAAGCCCACACAAAAATATGCCCACATAGAAAAAAGCTCACATGGAAAAATGCTCACTTAGAAATTTACTCACACGGAAAAAAGCTCACACAGAAGTATCCTCACATGGAAATGAGCCCACTGATAAATAATTCACATAGAAAGATCCCTACATTAATGAATCGGTAATTAATCGATTTGAACATCATACACCTACTGAATTTTCTAAAGAAAATTATTTAATTACCAAAACATCTATGGTATATATTTCAAAACTTTATAACTTATCTGTAGATTCAGTTGCTACATAAGATTAACAAATGGGCCGTTTTGAATTAAAGGAGAGGATAGAGGTAGAAACACAAGTAAAACCAAACAGTTATACAGTAAAAATTTTATTGTTAATTGTTTAAAAATAAAAATAATAAATATAAGTTACGCATTTTTTAATATAAACTTTGAAGAATAATGAATAATGATGATAATTTAGAATGATTATTTTTTATTTAAATTACTTAAATATTTAATTTTATCATCGATTTCATCATAGTTTCTTACATGATTCACAATTACTAAATGTAAGTTTTTCATGTTTTATTTATTTATTTATTTATTTTTTTTACTTCGCAGTACATCCTGTATTTACATTACCTAATAAAAAACGCTGAGAGGCTAAATCTTTTTTCAGTTCGTCAAATAAAAACCACATACTTGGATGGCTACAATTAAATAATGAATTTAGTGCATTATGAGAACTGCAACAATTTGTGGTTTTAGGAGATTTTTCGAAGGCTGCTTCATAATGTTCAACTAAGAGGCATCATCAAAGTGCCTAAAAATGTTAATTTTATTTCTAAAATTTTAAATTTCTGCAGAAATTTTACAACTTTTTTGGCTCAAAACTTGAAGAACTAGAACTTGAAGATAGATACATATCAAAAATATGCAAAAATAGAGCAAAGAAACAAAAATTAATTATTAGCAGTTACAGGAAAAGAATGTCGTACAGGGCAGTGGTATAAAATATTACAGTACATGCAAAATTTTACTACAGTTTCATGCTTATATTTATCGTCCCTGAAAAGGTTAATGTGAGCATTTGTCCATGTGAACATATTTCATGTGAGCTTTTTTCCGTGTGAGCATTTTTCCATGTGAGCTTTTTTCTATGTGAGCATATCTCCTTGTGGGCTTTTTTCCTGTGAGCTTTTATACCTGTGAGCATTATTCTGTGAGCATTTTTTCTGTGGGCTTTTTTCCTGCGAGCATTTTTCCAGTCACCCCTTTACACGTGCGCATATGCGTTTATGCATGCGTGTTTAATGTATAACAGACGGTATAAGCTAAGCTAAAATTATCTAATTATCTATTTCAGTTAATGTTGCAGATTGTGTTGTTCCTTAATTTTCTAATTGGATCCGGCTTATTACTTTTTGCAGACTGTTAGAGCAATATTATAAAAGTAAGTTTGAACTTTCGATTATGTCAAAAAGAACTTCCGATTCTGGAGCTGCCAAAGGATCTACAAAGTGAAAGCATGTTTTGAGGTCCATCAAACAAAAAGTGGAATTGCTGCAAAAAATGGATAAAGGCATATCCTTTGTTTCTCTAACCATTCTGAAATCTGTTTATCAATTTCACGCTGCTCTGCGGGGGGAGGGGGGATGTTGCAGCACGCAATGAACTGGAAGTTGATCTGTCAGCACTATCCTTATCTTCAGGGCAGATGTTTTTATTTTATTCAGCTTATAATTCCTTACTAAATGTAGTATATCATCTCGATGTATTCCGTCTTTGATATGATTTAAATCAAATTCCCCGTCATTATAAATATCACAAATACACATCAAATAGTTTTTTGATTGCAATTTTCTAATTTCGACTATACGCAATGTATGCTTTACGCATGCGCACATTGAAAGAAATGTTTAATAAAGTAAACAAATAAATATTAAGCTTTTTTTTTTTTGTAAATTTTGATACCCTTTAGATCATAATTGCCCTTTATTTCATAAATTATGGTTTCATAGTTTTAATTTTATAATTTCTGCATGCCATCTTACCAGATTTAAACTGATGATCTATAATCTGGAAAAACCGATAATCTGGAATTGCCAAAGTCCCGACGTGTCCGGATTAAAGACTTTTGACTGTAAATGATACTTTCAAAATATGATTAACTAAGGTTCAATTGAAAACATAACATCTTAACATTAAACTTTTTCAATACTTCATGTACCTAAAAAATGATGGAAATCTGAAAAAAAAAAAAAAAAAAAAAAAAAAAAAAAAAACTATGATGACTGAAATTTATAACAAAATAAAAACAGTTTTTATAGAAGGTAATGAAAATTTATTAACCTTTGGCAAATAACATGAAATATTAAATTTTACCTCACTGTAACTGAATGACAGATTATTCAAATTATTAAAATAAAATGTATAAATTTATTTTAATACACGTGAAAAATAATACAGTTGCATGCTGCTATGAAAATCAGTAATTCACCTGAAAAAATCAACTCCTACTCTTACTCTTTTTTACAGTTCACAAGCGAAACATACTTCTTTTCCAGTAATAACAGAGTAGCAAACAATGGTCATAAATTTATACTAATTCCATGGGATAATTTCTTCATAAAAAAGCATTTACACCCAGTTTTTCACATTTTAATAGAAAAAACTAACTAGTCTGATTATTTTAAAACAATGAAACTGAAAGATATGTCTACATTATTTTGAGAATGCAGGTACTTTATCTTATGAAAACATTTTAAAATACCTACTAATGACAAATTATTATCCAGTAAAATCAGATGAATATTTATTCTCTAAAATTCTTAATATCACAAAGGGCACTTTTAAGTTGAATTCTGAAATTTAAAAATTCCCCAAAATGTCATATTTGATGTACGAGGCATGAAAATTATAATATTTTCATTTGGAAAATATTTGTCAATTCAAAACATACAATTTTAGATTGTGCTGATGAAAAATAACTTCTTAACTTCATAATATATTATTTAACATTAAATATAAAATCAATAGCAATAAAGTAACTATGCTTATGTTTGTTAATATATATAATAGGCAATATCAAAATCTAATTCAATGCCTAATTGTAAGCAATCACTCAAATCCCTATAAAAACCACTTTGTTTCTGATATTGACCGCAAAAGTCAATGATTTATGGAAATCAAGTAAAATATTTTAAAATAATGTTAATGTTTAAAATCAAAGAATTATTTTCCTGGAGTGAATGCCAAGAGAACAGGAATGCAACTACTACTTTTGAGTGTTTTACTCAGTCTGTTACTGATGGAATAAAAATTAATAAATTAATATTTACAAACCAAAATGCTTTATCAGCTTTTAATCTTGATTTAAATATTGAATTCATCATGTAGCATTAAAAAACTCTGTCGTTTTCACGACAAGATTTGACACTTAAAATCCAGCTTCATGTTTTACAGTAGATTCTATAATGTTATTTAATCTAGAATCAAATCTTTTACTCAGTGGAAGCTGGAACAGTGCTATATCAATACTTAAATGGATTTCTAAATAGTAAATATTTTGGCTGATTAAATAATCAACCTTGGTCAAATCCATGAGTAAGCAAGATTTATGATTTAAATATATTATTATTCAATGTTGGCAAACAGTCCATGGTAAAGAGAAAATATATTTTCATACTTACCAGCAGCAATTTTTACTGTACAGCAGTAATAAAAAAAATATTTTTATATAAGAAATATCATACTGATATGAAAAAATATCATGAATGCTCTAAGAAGCTAAATTATAAAAATGTAAATACCAGCTTGAGGTAGATGTATGCGAGCTAAACCAGACAAAACTTCCAGAGCAGCTAAAGATACATTAAGGTCAGTTTTCCAAGACGATATTAAACGATGGCAAATGAGATATGTAGCTCGCAAGAACAGAGCATGTGTTGAATCTATACCAAGGAAAATAATTAATATAATTAACAGATGATCAAATCAGATCTTCAAGTTAAAATACACTTCAATATCAAATTATTTAACTTCTTTTAAATTCACTACAATGAAAGTTTGTCTTCATTAATTATTAATCTAACATATATTCAATTACTTGTAATATTTGACAATGCACTAAACAGCTGAGCTGGTGTAAATTAAAATAACACAATGCAAGTTTCTTTCATGTATGAGTTTATCCTTTTAATTTGTATTTTAAAACAATTACTGTTATGAAAAACAAAGTATAATATAACTGTAGACTGATTCCTTAAATTTTGGAAATGCTTTTGCAGACTCTTTTCCCATTCATACAACTATGATAATTTACCATACCACTTAAGCTTCTTTATACAATAATAGTGAAAAAAGTTTACAGTTTTATACACTCTCAGTGATGATTTTTGTTCTCACACTGCAGCTAATAAACACAGCATGAGCGATTTTACTTCTCTTTATTAAGCATCACTTTGCATTGTTCATAGCTTCAATACTACAAATAGATTCTGAAATAAAACTTTGCATTCACTTTATTTAAACATAAACAATGCTTATTTTCATTCTGATTCACTATTTCATGTTTCTGTCATACATAGCTTAGAACTGTAACTTAATTACACATACACTATTTAACACAATAGAATATCTTTAGCAGGTTAAGTAAGGAACATATAAGTATTATTTTATGGATAAAGTTTTAAATGCACATATTTTATTCTTTAACCCCTTCGAGCCGGGCAGCGAAAATGTGCGCTTATCGCCGAGGCCAGCAGTGTCTTCCGCGAGCATCTCTCCAGGGCCAGGGGCTTTTTTGCTACTAAGTCTAAATCCATGAAATTTCCGAAGTATCAATGCATTGTTTAATAATGTTCTATAGAGTATTTAAACGGCTTATGCTTTATAAATATTTTTATATATATACTTTAATTACCTTATTTCTTGTTTAAATGCATATTTTACACATTTTATTTTAATTACTCACATGATTTTATGACTTTCAACATTATACATCTGAAAACTAAATATATTACTTAAAATTCTCTTTTCGTATGAAAAATTTTAAAACAGGGATCTACACACAGTCCTACGTTACATTCCTTGAACTCGTAATAACTCATTTGCCATTTTGGAGGATTTTTCCGGTAATGTGAACAAACGAAGCATCGTCGTCTCATTTTCTTATCAGTCTCTTCTGAACAAAGTTTTGGAAAATGTCTTTCAGTTAATCTTTCAGAATCAATATCAGAATATCAGAATTTCAGAATCAATATCTGAAATATTTTGCATCATTTCTGCTATTTCATGCTCTGTTAACATTTTCGACGCTTCGACATTCAAACGGTAAAAACAGAAAGAATTCACGTCTAACAAGATCTAATTATTTTCTAAAAACTGAGCTGTAAACCAAAATACTCAACGCTTTAGCGCATATAAAACTTCTACTTACAATAAACAACTACCATGTGCGAATAAAGTGCGATTTAAAGAGACGTCATAAATCACGCCATTCGGAAACATTTAGTTCCCCGTTTGTTTATATAATCAAAAACACGTGTATGTGAGTCATGCTTCTCTCATTTTGAGTAGAAGGTCTAATGTACATGTATCTGAAACCATATGGGCATACAGTGCCATCTTGTGGCAGAAATTATAGTTTGAAAAACGTTCCAAGGTACTGGCACAAATACGTGACAGTCGGTAGAAAACGCAACAATGCTCTGGCACGCCTGCGTGTCGGCCAGTAGATAAGTGTGTTCGTTGCTGGCACGTATACGTGACAGTCGGCGCGAAGGGGTTAGCAAATAATTAAATTTTAGTTTCAAGAAAAAGCTCAATTTTTTCTAGTTTTATGGCCTATTTTTCAAAACTGCTTTAGAGAAAAACTTACATGTGAAAAAAATAAAAATACCAATTTTCTGTCAATAAAAAAATTTTAAAACTTTTGCAATCTGCAATAATTTTATTTATATTGTTTATATTTACTAAGCTAAATTATCAAAAGCATTTTCCTGCTTAAATTATTAAATTCTTCCATTTTACAACAATAAATAAATAATTTTCTATATTTTATATTGTAAATACTCTCACAATGAACAAAAGCATCTATTATTTTACTTTTTATCAGTATAATTATCATAATCTATTAAAAAACTGGTCACAAAATCAAGCTTTTTTAATGCATAATAATTTATATTTTTAAAGGACACAAATAAGTAGAAATTCCCTAACTGCAAATTTGTTATAAATATAATTACAGGCTGAATACTTATTGAATTTCTATTAAAATATTCTGGTATCCTAATGTTTTAATAATATATCATAGTTATGTACTAAAATGCAAGAATGTACTCAGCAAATTTATTTACCAGAAAAATGCTGTTTAAATAGAATAAGCATTACTTATGTATGATATATTCAACAACTAGTGTTGTCTGAAACTTGCAATATGATTTAAAAAACTAACAATACTAATGAAGAAAATACATTCTATATAAATTATACAGATTTTGCTGAAAGGTTATATTAAAATATATACAATATTGCCATGACATGTAATTCATTACTGATTCTCAACACTTAGAGAGAGCTATGCATTTGATTTTAAATTGCATACTTATTAGCAGTTATAAAACTATCACCTAGCTTAAACACTGTGAGCATTTAAATAGGTTTTTCCCCCATTTTTCTTAAAGGAAGAAGTCCAATATAATATAATGGAGTGTATAAATGGTTGCAGTTTACTACTAAAAAATATTCAGCATCTGTATCAAAAGAAAAAAAAAAAGTAAAGCACATTAAAAGCAAAATAATCTTTGAAAGTATAATTACAAACATTTTGTACTGAAAGGTTCTACAATAAAATTTTCAAAATACTTGTTATTTGAAGTCCATGACTTAATATCTGATATATTTTAGAATACTTGAAAAACAACCGCTTCAACAAGATTATGCAGAATTTAATAATAGTTAAAATATTTAGCATATCACAAGATAAGGAGATTTAACTAACATACATATATGAGCTTAATGACCTTAAAAAAGGTTTTTTTCAAGCAAATGCTTCTAATGTTTAGTACAATTAAAAAGCTCATTTAATATATTCATAAAACAATTTATATTGCTGCATGATTATATTGCATACCATAACAGATAATTGACTTAATGTTCTTTGATTTTATTCAGTATTTTCATACGATATCAGAATTTAATATATTTCACATATGTATAGAAAGGTAACCTAGTTTTTGTTTTTTTGCATGCCTTATAATTAATAGCAGTGCTTCACATGAAATTGCGCAAATGAAGAATAATACGTGGAAAAGATACAAAACACTATTACTAGATTAATTCACCAAAATACCATAAATTATGAGTTTCTAAAGACTTAACAGAAAAGGGAAAAAATAACTACATCACAAAACTAAAAACAGACACTTTTACAGAAATAAAAAATAACTAAAAAGTGAGAACAGTAACAGCCATCACCAAAGACAGAAACTGGTTAGTAGTGAAGAGAAAATAAAAGGTCCATATATCCAAATTTGGAGAAAAGAGGTTTGTTTTATATTTATAAGTGATCTAATTTTACCATCCACTAGGAGGGGAAAATCTGTCCGAAGAAGATTGTCAAGATCAGGACCCAAACTGCTACATTCAGATGAACTTAAGGAGTCACAACAGCTTTCGGCTACTTCTGGCTGCAGGTCTGAAGAAAGGGGCCCGGTGCATCCAAAATATAATAATATTGTAAGCAAAGCAATGGTAATTTAAAAAGGGCCATGCTTACCTTCATTATTATTAATAAAAGTGTAACAGCCAATATTATTAAATAACATAAATATTCTGATTTCCAGAAAAGCACACCAAAATTTTTACAGTAATTAAGAAAATAAGCTTATTATATTTATATATATATGTATATGTTATGAGATATTTTGAATAATTGAAATTGGAAGTAACAGTTGTTCCAAATGTTTGATCATACTTTTCCAAATTATAGCTAGTTTTTAATTTCAACATTCCATTTTATTCTTTTACTGACTTTTTGAGTAATAGATAAATAACAAAAACTTTCAGTTAGCCTTCCAAAAGTTAGCTTATGTGTTTTAAATTTTTTTTTTCTTTTAAAAAAGTTCTGTTTTAAGTAATCTAAATACCAGAAACACAGATTTTACTTAATGCTAAAATAAATTATTCTCCATGATTCACATAGGAAATTGTTTTATATATAAAATCAAATATGCAGTAAAATAACTGAAGGTACAATGTTTCACTTTGTGCTATAAATGTTCAAAATATTTTAAAACTTATTTCCTCTTCTTGTAACATTTCGATTTTTAATAATACTTTCACCTCTGGAAACGTATCTAACTTTTGAAATTACTTTAAAAAATAGTCTGAAAATGCTTCTTAGATGCAAGAATAGAAAATTTTAAAATAAGCAAACAAAAGAAAAACATGTAAAATAAACTTTTTGACTAAAAATAACTACACAAGTTCATAGCTTATTTATGTAACAAAATAATGAAATTCATTTTTATACTAAATAATAAATAATCTTAAATCATGGTAATAATTGGGATGAAGAATAAAAAAAGTATTGAATTATTGAATGAATTATAAAAGAATACTAAAATATTAAGTAATTAACACAGTAATTTACTTTAGTACATCAAAAGTTTTAAATTGACAAAAACTAATATATTTTGATACACATACCAGAACACAACAGACTGGTGACAGATTCAACACTAACAATGTCTGCTGAAGAAGGTTGAGTAATCTGTTCAACTTCCTCACTTGCAGCGGAATCTTGTATATAAAATAAGAGACCACCTGTATAATTAAAAACAGAAATGAAGGATCAAAACATTTAATTTATGTACACACAGTGCATCTACAAAGTTTTTAAGACTATCTTTTAAACAAATCTCAGCAAACCTGACAAATTAAAATTGGCAACATTTATTACTATGTTATCTCAATTTGTTTCTCCAAAAATAGTGTCTGTTTACATACATAATTTTCTATGAAGTTTATGTTTTGTTTCAATAAAGATCTGTTGTTATTGATCCAAAAACTGAGGAAACAAATTGTGCAAAGCAGGAAAAACAAAAATGGTGACATTCAAAATGTTGTGAAAAGCATACTGGGATCATGCATTAAAATGATTCAAAGTTTTTCATTGGTAAAGAAGATTCTGTGATGGATAAAAAGATAGTGATGATGAGTCACTTAACTAAGTTCAACAAATAAGCTGAAAAAACATCACTTGACTCTTTGAATGATAACTAATGAACATCAATAAATGTTATGGAAGATCTTGAAAAAAGAAAAAAATATTTTCATTTTGTCCACATGCACTGAATGCAGAAGAGAAAAATCAAATAGAAGAAAGATCAAATTAATCCTCATTTTATTTCAAACAAATTTTGATAAAAGAAAAAAAACATGGTGCTTGATTATGATCCTGAAATAAAATCGCAATTATCTGTACAAGTTAAATTCCCCAAAGCCACAGAAACCTTTAGTAATCTTGATCTTGATGGTGACTTTTTTTAGTGAAAAGGGATAATTCATACAGAATTTATTCCTGGGGAAAAGACAGAGAAATTAATATTTTATAGACATAATGGATAAATTTTTAAACAGAATTTAACATGTTAAGCCTGAAAAAGTTTAGTTGAAAAAATGGTTTTGATTACATGACCATCCACAGAACTGGAACAGAATTTTAGTCAAGAAAATTGTGACAGTACCAATCTTAATCACTGGTTTTGTTACCTGCAGACTACTCTTCCTAAAGTGAAGTCTTAACTTAAAGGTCACTATTTGAATATTTCTGAAAAGGTTCAGAAAACTGTAACCAGAGCATTCGAACAATAAAATTCAAGACAACTGTATAAGCATGTCAAAAATTGTACCATATGTTAAAGGCTAAGAAGTAAGAATGTTGTTTTTATGATTTTATATTTTGTTTCAAATAAGTCCTAAATTTTTGTAAATGCAATATATACATTCAACAGTTTTCAAATAAAGTACACCTAAATTTAATAAAAAAGAAATCTTTATTGCATATTATTTATAAGTACTTTCAATTTAACATTTTAATTATTTAGAGATGGTTAAGCATATCACAATTATTTCACATACTCAAAATTTTAATCATTATTATGTATTTCAGACTTAATGACTAAAAAGATATGCATTCAAATTGTAAACGTTAGAAACTATGGCACTCTTTTAAACATATCAAATGCTTGAAAGTATTACAAATTTACATGGCAGCACATTTTAATAAAATGTTATCTGTGATAAACAGAAAAATTTAGAAACTATTACCTAATAACATATGGGTGTTTGTGCTTTCAGTTTCAACTTGCAAAGCATTTATCAGGAGATTTACCAACCTAATTTTAAGAGACTGAAAAGTAAGGGTAGACTTTTCTCCTGAAATAGCTAAGAAGGAAGAAAAATAATGAGTTAAAGATTTGAGAAAAATTAAAATAAAAGCATAAAACTAATATAAAAAACAATTAAAATAGTTAAATACGAAATCTGCACAACATAAAATGCTAAATATAAAGGAAAGACACTTTTTTAAAAGGTTCTCCAAATTAAATAATGTTTCAGTCAGAAAAAGGAAAAGATCTGAGAACTACATATACAGTACAAAGTCCGTAATCCGGACTCGTTGGGACTTTGGTGATTTCAGATTATAGATCCTCAATTTAAATCTGGTAAGATGGCATGCAGAATTATACAATTAAAAATATGAAACCGTAATTTATGAAATAAAGGGCAATTATGATCTAAAGGGTATCAAAATTTACAAAAAAAAAGCTTAATATTTATTTGTTTACTTTATTAAACATTTTTTTCAATGTAAATTGTTTAAGTTGCTTCTTCATTTTTTGTGCTAAACGCGCATGCATGCATAAACACATTATGCACATGCGTAAAGCATACAAAAAAAAAGTTTGCGGCTTTGAAGACCGGATTATAGATCATTCCGGATAATGGACGTCCGGATTACAGACTTTGCACTATATATGTTTATACATGCCAGCTTGAACTGGTTTCAGTATAAAAGATAAATCATTTCTGATAAATATTTTTTATCATGAAAATCATATTCTTCAATCATATTTCCAATTAAAATATTTCTTGTTAAAGCTAATTAAACATAATGAGAACTATACCTTTGATAGGTAGATTGAAATAATGAAGTGGTAGAGGCAGCATTGACAGCAATAAATGAATAGCAGAATGCCTAAGTTCAGCATGGGCAACCAATGGACTAGGCCTGTTATAATAATAATAATAATAATAACTTCAGATTTGTTTAAAAAATAACATTATAAAGAAATCAAATCAAATTAGTTTTGCCAGTCAAAAAATGCATCAACATGATTTCATTATAAAGTTTAAATTAGGAGGATAAAGTTTTTTAAATTGTTTCCGTTAAAATACAATGATATCCATACACATACTATGTTTAGTAGCTCCTTACCACTTTTTTGCTACATTTTTGTACAAAAATTTTCTAGAATCTTCTTAAATTCTACTAGGACAGTGATCCAAAGCATTCTATATACAATGTTAGACTCTGGGTGTTATATTAGTGTCCACAAGTAATTAAGGCACCACCCTAATCGTCAGATCTTAATCCTATTGAACATATTTGGCAGGAACTAGAATTGAAAATTTGAAAACAGAGCATATCTTAGCGGCAGCAACTGAAAGCAGTGATTCAAGAGGAATGACATAAAGTAAGTCCAAAAATAACAAAAACACTTGTAGTGTCAATGCCCAAAAGATTAAATGAAGTTATCAAGTGTAAAGGTAATCCCACAAGATATTAAGAAGCAAAAACAACGTTAAGTTTTTGGCTGTTACTAAAAGTGTCTGATTACTTTTGTGAGAATATTTTTCCTCACAAAATAAATGATATTGATTTCTGAATATAATTTTCATCTTTTCAAAAATGCATTTATTATAAAAAAAGGTTGAACTTATATATAATCAAAATAAAAGCCTTTATTTTTGTTTTAATTTAATTTAGTTTTTATGTTCATTAAAAAGTACAAAAATTCAAAGTGTCCGAACATTTTTGTTAGTCACTGTAAAGTTTCATATTTGTATACAGTTTATTAACTCATTTTGCAAGCACTCCCCTGCTGTTATTGTTTTGTTTTTTATATTCAGAATATGGCTTGCAGGAAATGTTCAGTTGAGAGACAGAACATATGTTTTGATGACATTTCTGATACTAGCAATAGTGACACAGATTGTTATTTCTTAAACTCATCTCCAGATAGTGAAATCATCCAAAATGTTAAACACTGGTACAAAATAAATATGAAAAACATTCCACCAACTTTTGCGTCATCCCCCCTTTTTTTTTTCAATCTGGGAATAACAGCGAAAATGATGAGCTTCTGGAGTTTCGAATGCAAATGATTGAGCAAAGTATCTAAAAGTATTCAAATGGAGATACATGTGGTACACCTGGAAGACTTAGACCCTTTGAGATATACAGCTCATCATTTCTGCATGCCACATACCTCCTAATCCCATAAAAAGGAGCCTTGTAGCCAGTGTGCTGTCTGTTGCTTAAAAAAAAAAAAAAAAAAAAAAAAAAAAAACTGAAAACACGAATTGCAAAGAATGTATCGCACATAATGAAAGAAGTAGAATGTGCAGAAGACACTGTTGCCGCATGTGACTCTCAGTCTCATGCGGCAACTTGAGAGATTTGATGTGGTTACTCGACAGGCAACTCTCAATCACTGCTCAGTTTGATTTGATAATTCACGTGGTAATGATGCTTATTAAGGTTTAGGCAATATCAATTCATGAATGTGTGCAAAAATACATGTATATAAAACAATTCATCAATTCATGAGTGTATTCAACAATACATGCATTTAAAACAACAGCCAATCTTTAATCTTAGATACATTTTTTTTAGATTTATTGTTATACATGCATCTCCAACATCAATTCGAACTTGGCAGATGTGGCACTAGGAATATTATTTTGAAAGTTATGGAGGTCAATAACGTTGGAATATGATGAATAAATCAGTTGAAGTGAAGATGAGTTTGATATTTCATTGAAGAAAAGAGAAATTACGTCTATGCAGAGATTATTTGACGATAGAGAGGAGGAAAGCAGTGATGTAAGAAGGCAAAAAATCAAGGCAATAGATAGTGAATGTGAAAGTGATTCTGCAGAAAAGAAAAAAAAATTCAGAATTGACAATGTGCACAGTATCTGATATCACAAAGAATACTGTTTGTAGCAGACGAAATGGCTGCAGGGGTGCAAGTATCCTCAAACATAAAGGAACCATTAGATTTCTTTAAATTGTGAGTGAAATCATTTTCAGTTGGCCATAAGAAACTTACCAAATATGAAAAAAAATCATCTGAGGTTGCTGGTTTGCCTGAATGAAAAAGACCTCAAAGGCAAAAGGTTAATTTATAATTTTTTTAATTACTTCTTACATGTTCCTTTTTGTAATCAATGAATTCTATTTCTTGTTTAATATCATCCTTATTGTTGCTGTTGCCATCCCTGTTGTAAATCAAATAACATTATTAATGTTTAACTAAAAGGTAACCAAAAACTTTCTTTCTATTTTGGCATCCTGTTTGATAAAGCACTCACAGAGAGGTAAAAGTGACTTCCAGACTTCTTCCTCGGAAAAGAGATAAATGGTTCATGCAGCCATTATTTACACTAATTCAGGAATGCTGCATACACACAACAATTACAGCTTATCCTGTGTTGAAGAATAAAGGAGGCAACAAAGCAGCTGTTTACTGTATGATTTTAAAATGGCATTTAGGGAGGATGTTATGAATGAATCCACTGCCAAGCACTGTTTTCAGAAGAGCTGGACTATCTGCTCCAGAACTGACTCAAAGAGCCAATTCACCTTAGTGAATTTGTTCCGATTCCAGACAACGGAATAGTAGTTCTTTGACAGTTAATAAAAAGCTCTTTTGGAAGCATGTCAAGAATAGAGCCTCATTAACCACTCTTCATTCTCCCATTTTTCCTGATCTTTTTCATCAAGGTTATTGTTGGTGAGCAGTAAGTCTTAAAAAGGAACCAGTTTATTTCAGTGAGCAAACCTTTCTGATCCAATCCCATAAAAGAGTAGTTTTGCCCATCTCTAGTTTCCAGAAGTTCAGGATGGAAGATCTAAGCCTTTATGAAAAGCTCCGCAATGTGCAGGTGTGATGATGGGGCCCTGTAGGCAGTGAAATAGAAGGATGCCAGTCAGACATAGGATGAACACTTCCAGATTTCCAAGAAAACAAACCAGCAAAATTTACCTGTGCCACAAAGAAAAAGTGTACAACAAGATAAACAAGTGGATAAGGGAACAAGTGGTCAGCAACCGACAAGGAACAACAAATGACAACTTGTTTGCCATTGCAACCATAGCACTGCAACGCAGCCATATTTGGTCAAGTGCTCATGAGTGATGAACAGAGGGTCCACTAATGAAATTTCTAAGTGTACCAGACATTGTTGTCACCCCAGGATATTTTGCTTCCCACCTCAAGAGAATCTCTGCACCCACGCAAGACCATGCTCTGTGCCTGGTGGACTAGTCATTTTAAGTGGTACATTACGAGTTACTACCATCAGGTCACATCATCACTGAAAACCTGTACTCGCAGCATTTACAATAGCTGCAATATGCATTGCAGCAGAAGTAGCCAATATTGGTTAATTGCAAGGGCGTGCTATACTTCCATAACAATGTAAGGCCACACGGGGAAGCACGACCAGGCATATCATTCAGTAACTTAGTTCGAACCTTTCACAATGAGGTAGACCTGTGGGATGCACTCACAGATTTCTTTGCGTCCAAAACCTTCAGCTTTATTGGCCCCCACACTGCAAAATAGAATGAATGTTAGCAAAGGGTGCTGGATGCTGATGGAAATTACTCTGAGATGCAACATTGAATATCATGTGCTGCATGTCTGTCTGTTTCCAAGAATCATCAACAACATGAACATTTTTGGTTACCTTCTACTATTTTAGGGACATCTACTTTGGTCATTTCAGATTTTAGAAGCATAAAAAATGAAATGTCTTCTATAGTTTTAAATATTAAGAAAAATTCATTTTCAAGCTTAAATTTATCAAGCAACTTTTTTAAAATTTAAGTTGGTTTATTTCAAACATAAATACTATTTGTTATATTGTATAAACAGTACAAATTTTTAGGAGATGCAAGTAATACAAATGATTAAAGAACCCTTTAAGAAAGGTAAAGTATTCTGGTTTACATTCAGAATGGGATCCTAACAACCATGAAAGTATGAGGAAGAAATGATTTATAAATATAAATGAAAAACAATTTACAATAGTATCTTACAGTTACAAATTGTAATGTGCTCAAAATAAATAAGAAATGCTATAACTAGGAGTTCTAATACAGATCTATTTCCCACTAATATGTAGTAGAAGCAAGCTTTGAGGCGTTGTAGTTATGAAAGAACTTTTTCCCATATTCATTAGAGCTAATCATTACAGCACAGGCATTCGATACTTAAAATATCCGAGGAACAACACCAGCAAAGAGAGCTCTGTATCCATTGGACTGATATAATGTTTCCAAAAGTAAATATGTGGAAGCAGAAAGCTGATGTGCTAAGGATTCCATTTCTCCAAGTTTTATTTGGTGATGATTTTAGAAGCATATCAATTTTAGAAATTATTCAATTTTCCCACAAATATTTTACTGCCTTATTTTTGTTTTAGCACTCTAATACACAGTCACTATGCACCTTTAGACACTAAAGAACAATTTATCTCTAACTGATAAGTTAGAAGGGGAAAAATATATATATACCAGAATTTTGAACAGAAAAAAGCATTTTTTCAAATATGTTTTATACATCATAGATCCAATACATATAAGATGCAAAATATATAAAATATGAATTCTAAATTAACAATGGCTCCTTAATGTTTAATTTGGTCTTTCCCCTCTGTAACATAAAAATAGTAATATTTTTCCTCACTGCATCATTTCTACACTTGATATATGACTCTTCCATAACACTGGTGATGCAAATGGAACTAAAATCAAATAGCCAATAATAATTTACAGTGGTATTAATTATCCAATCAAATGAACTGAGAACCAAACCTGATTCTGAACACAGCCGCACTTGCTTTCAACAGTTTGGCCTAGCTGAACTGCTGCTCTCGTCTTACTGCAAATGTAAACATTTTGAAATAGGCATAAGTAGTGTGCCACGTTGTTTTTGGACACAACATGTTTTTTTTAAAATAAAGATGAATATTTAATCTGTTTCGGCTGCCCAATTTGCTCTTCATTACAGATCAACATTCTGTGCAATCAAAATTCCTTCTGTTGATTACTTCTAAATCTGCATTGTCACAATGAATGAAATGCAATATTTCTTCATTTATGTTATCAACAGTTTCTACAACATTATAACATGAGTCTGTTTTATTACATATAAATAAAAGCATCTTATTTGAATCCCATTTTCCTCTTAATTTCTGAAATAAATGATACTGTAGGAAGCAGTTGAGATCAACTATTCAATTATATATTATTTTATTCAATTATGTAATGTATTAAAAGCTATATTACATCTGCACAGTAATGTAGCTTTTAATACATTACATAACAGAATAAAATAATGCATAATTTGAACAACATACATGCAACATTTTAAATCATGAAACATATAAAAAGTTGTTTTATTTTATAGCTTTTAAAAGTAAAACAATTCCACGAATCTATAGATAATCAAAGTATAAAGACTGAATATCAATCAAACAGAAAAAAAAAAAAAAAATGTATGTAATTTATTAAAATTGAATAACTACCTCATTTTCATTTCAGCTGGTAGTACTAATTCCAGAGCTTGAAGAAATTGGGGAACTAAGACCATTACTCCATCTAAGTCCTTTCGGAGTAAATCACTTGAATTCAATAAAATACTTGCTAACATTTGCTCCCTTGCCTAAATTTAAAGTAAACTAGTTAGTTAAATATTTTGATTCATATTTTCAGGAAAACGAAAAGAAAGCAAATTTCTAAAAGTTAATCAGTCATTTTTTTAATGTTTTGATAAAAGTGTTTGTTAAGTTATATCTAATGCTATGAAAGCAATCGAAAATCATTTTAAATTTCAAACAGATTGAAATGAATGTCCAATATATAAAAATAAACAAATCACTTTTTAAATGCTATGATTTTAAAAACTGAAATTATGGATATATTTATTATAGTGATTTTAAAAATGTATAAATAATAAAATTAGTCGTGAAAAATTATGAAATATCTTACCAAACCTCCAGACAGCCCATACTGTAAAGCTAAATAGAATCTTGCAAGATAAACAGGCAGAATTTCTTCACCAGTGCGTTTAGCACAAAATATACGACATAGAGAACCAACAGCTTCTGCCTGACCAGCTTCAAAGTTTTCCAGAGTTAAATTTGATGGTATTTCAAAAGACTCTAACATAGGAGCTGAACTCTGCCTGCTATCTAATACAAGTGAGCTTGGCCTTCTTAAACTACTGTCATTTTCTGCAAATAAATAAATAAAAAAATATATATAGATATATATTATATAATTAACAGTTCTTATACACTCAATAATAAAATAAAATTCATTAAGGAGATGTTTATTCCCAAAATTATATCTCACAATTATAAAAATAATACTTAATCATTTTGTAACTAATAGAAGAAATATAAAATTTCATTTTTTTTTTAGAATTTAACATGCAATAAGAGAAATTGCTATTATAAATACTCCAAACTAGATAAACTATTTAAAAAATTCCAAGTTTTTGTGAAATTTATTCAACCCTAAAACCCTTAATTATTTGAATTCCTTTGAAGTGAGATAGGATTGCCATCGCTGTTAACAAAAAAATGTTTTTTTTTTTTTTTTTTTAAATTCAATAGCGAAGTGGAGTGTGTGTGGCTGCCCGGGTGTCTTTCACAAATGAGTAAAATAGAATGTTGAAATATAATGTTTCAGATTGTTAAGTAGTTAGTTTAATCAGAGTTACAGTCTATTTTAGTAATTAGCTAACAGTTTGAGCAGTCCAAAACGAGTCGGAGTGAAATTAGCTAAGTAAATAACGTTAATAAATAAGCTAATTGTAGAACAGGGTATTTGCCATTTCGTTACTGAAGAATTTATGTCTGTGTATTACAGCCATATGCTGAAAGAAAAGGGTAAGTAATGAAACTCCATTCATTATTAACTGTTGCATTTAGTAAATTCTGAATTAAGTTTGTGTGATAATTTGTTATTATTGATAAGCGTAGCAAAATGGCTATAAAACTGAAAGATGTTTTCACTTAAAATAGATGTTCTCACTCATCTATCTTATCGAAACTGCAAAAGAAACTTTCTGAGCCAGATTTTCTGAGCTGTTAGTGACTTAAAATTATTAAAAACTAAATTTAACAGTCTTCAAAATGAATTTGATAATATTTTTGATTTAATTATTAATTTAAGTGCTAAAGAAACTATTGAAAAAAATCTTCAGTGAGTAAGATGAAATCAATAGTAGTCTTACTGATATAGAATTTGAAATAAATAATAGATTGTCAAAAAATGTTAAAGGGACTAAATTGGAAAATACAGTAATTTCTGAAAATTCTATTGTGCATTCACCTAAGATTTTGTTACCCACATTTTCAGGAGAAATGCATTCTTGGCTTTCCTTTAAGGATATTTTTAAAGCGAGTATTGAACAGAACCCAAATTTATCAGACGCTGTAAAATTGCAATATTGAGAATCAGCACTGAAAGGAGATGCCTTTAGAATAATCCAAATGATAGCTATAATGGATTCTAATTAAACGTTAGCATGGTCTCTCCTTCAGGAAAGATACTTAAACCCTACAGAACAACAATATGCACATCTCAAAAGATTTATGAGCATTCCCATTATTCAAAACGAGTCAGTTTCCGTGATTCTAAATTTAATTGATGTTACAAGTATAGCTGTAAGATAGTTAGAATGGTTACAACAAAAATTAGATGGGGTTTCATCCACTATATTTGCCTTTATTCTTAGCCAGAAAATTGATCACAATACTAAATTATGTTGGAAAAGAAATTTAAAGAAAGAAAAAATACCAAACATCACAGATTCATTAGAATTTCTAAAAAAAATCACCCGAGGACTTTAAACACTTCTAGGATTCCAGTAATGTCTAAACAAAGTCAACTGCAGGTTTTTTTCGGTGGTTTCCTGTATGACCGAGAAACACGCATATATTTGTAAACTGCATATTGTGGAACACAAATTATTTAAATGTCCTAAATTTCAAAAATTCAGCTTGAAAGATTGAGTTCAATATGTCAAAAAGCACAATTTATGTTTCTGCTGTTTCGGAAATAATGAAGTGAGAAATTGCCCTTCAAATTACGCGTGTTGGCTATGCAGAAAAAAGTACAATTTGTTATTATGTTCTAAGTGAGAAAAAGTTTTGATTCCACAAAATAAAAACAGTGAAATCATGTCTCCTTTGGATCCAAAGTCAGGTGCTAGTCTATCTACGGAAACCCGGAAACTCAACATTTACCTGGAGCCATTCATAAACAAGGATAATGAATGTTTTATGACAGCTACTAAATAGGGTCGTATTATAAACAGCAATTGTGTACATCAAGGGAAATGAAGGAAAAATATTTCCAGCCAGAATTTTGCTTGACAATGGAAATATGATTCATCTTTATTCATTGGAATTAGCTGAAAAGCTTCATTTGCAAAAGAAAATGTAAACATAGCAGTAGGATGTTTATCAGGAATTTCAACAACAGTGAAATCAAAAATGAGTGCGGTTATTTTTAATACAGAAAAAATGTATAGTTGTAACCATGCTTTTTTTGCAATTCTGAAAATTCCTTATGCATTCTAGACAAATTGATGTCTGTAATATTGTGATTCCACAAAGAGTTATGTTAGCTGATCCAGACTTTCACAAATTGGGCACAATTCAGTAACTTCTAGGATCTGAAATATTTTTTGATTAATAAGATCTGGGTAAATTTATATACCCAAAAATTCCAATTTGTAGTAACTCCAATTTCCTCTAGTTTCCAATTTGTAAAACTCGGAACAGGCAGAATTTCTTCACCAGAGCATTTAGCACAACATATACAACATAGAGCCCCAACAGCTTCTACCTCACCAGCTGGTTATTTGGTGATCAGAAGCATTGAAAATTTACCATAAGAGAAACAATTAATCCATCGTGGGTTAATTTGTGACAATGCCCAGACACAGTTGAAAAAGTTTTCTGATTTGGAACCAATTGGTATTAGACATGATCTCGATTCTTATGATAAAGCATTAGAGATATTCAATAAAACCGTAAGTTTCAAAGACAGTCGTTTTGTTGTTAGCCTGCCCTGGAATAAAAATTGGAAACATTTAGGCAACAGTTTTGGTGTCTCAGAAAAAAGAATAAAGATTCTGATGAGAAAAATGCAGCATGATAATGCATCATACTTAAAATACAAAGAAACTTTAAAAGAGTATCTAAATCAAGGGATAATAGAAAGAGTATTAGATACTACAAAACCAGTAAACAAGCTGTTCTTTTATATGCTGCATCAGGCAGTTTACAGAGAAGAAAGCAATACTACAAAAATGCGTATTGTATTTGATGCAAACTCACATGAAATAGGTAGTTTGTCCCTAAATGATTACTTGTGGTCTGGTATTTATTTGAATCAAAATATATTTCACATGCTAACATATTTTAGACATAATACATTTGCAATCATCTTAGGAGATATCGAAGAGACATTTTTACAGATCATTTTAGGTGAGAAAGATCAAGATGTAGTTAGATTTTTATTAAGAATATTAGTATGCCTTTGCAGAATATACTTTTGTGTTAATTCTAGTCCTTTTTTGTTGGCTTCAACTACAAAGCTGCATACCTAAAAGTATAGACATGTGTATCCTGACACCTTTCAGAATTTTGATACATGTATGTATGTTGGTGATCTTGTTACACAAGCAGATGATGTATCAGAATCCTTAAAAATTTCAAGGCAAGCAATGGAAATTATGCGTGGAGCTGCAACAAGCTGCCCACTTGCCCACAGCATATGCTCATGCACCCTGGGGCCCATAGTCAGGAAAGCAGATATTGGGACACTGCAGGACATAGCCCACTAAGACTGTCGCACCACTGAGTTTATTTATTGTAACAGTTGTAATTATAATAATAGCATTATGTTGTTTATAAGTATATTAATTTTGATTTAAGAGTATTTTTCTACAATAATATATAATAATAATAGCATTATGTTGTTTATTTTGTTATTTTTTTTTCAAGAAATTTGTTATTCCGGGGGAGTGTTACAATCCTTTTGAAGAGAGATGGTGCTGCCATCTCTACTGTTAACAAAAGATTTTTTTTTGGGGGGGGAGGGGCACTTCAATGGCAAAGTATCTACAGTACAAAGTCTGAAATCCAGACATCCAATATCTGGAATTATCTAAAATCCGGACCTCAAAACCACCAACAATATTTTTCTAGTAGGCTTTACGCATGCACATTTTATTCACCCCTCTGCACATAATAAAACATCTGGAGAGTCATGATTCTTAATTTCACGTTGACACTAAATAAAATACCTTGTTATTGAAGAAACAAACATTTTAGCATAGTTCAGTAATTTGGCTCCTTTGCTGCGTATCTGCTTGGCACACATCATTTCACACGAAGCATTTCACATAGATATATCATTGATCTTACACCAACCTGGTGAATCATGATTTACTAAACTTTCCTTTCATCACTGTTTATCAAAACATGGCAACTTCAGTAATCACTCATGTAGCGATGCCCAAACAATTTTTTTTTTATGTTAGTAATTGAATAATAAGGGAGTATGGTAACCTTTTATGCTGACATTACACTTGGCGATGATTACACATTTAAGTTAAATGCGATAAAAAATGTTGACGAGGAAAAATTTACCAAAAATTTCTTTCCATATGCTAAAAATATATTTTGTTCATGATACTTATAGACACAAAGATTACATTTAGGGCTATTTGAATTAAGAATAACTGATTTGTTATTTACATAAACTCAGAAGCAGCGCCAGGGCTCGTATGGCTGTACCGGGTCACAGGATTTAGCACCCACAGAGACTGCATCAGGCGGTAAGATATCTAGCACCAGTACTCAATAAGGCTTAAGTATATATGGGAATCTATTTATTCAGAACTCTGATAAGCCTTACGCATGTGCAAGAAATAGACATAAATATAATAAATAACTAACCTAATACAATTCAGGCTTAACTTGTCTCAGTGCGCGAATAGAAGCAAGATAAAATTTAACGGAACAACTTATCGTTAGTCATCCACGATCATGATGCAGAGCCAAATATGAATAGTAAAGAAGAGCTAAATTTGATGATGATAACCGCTAATATTGAAAGGTTTCCGGATGTCGCAAAACAAAGGTAAAATTTTAGAATTAACGAATTTTGTAAAGAAATGTGGAGAAGTGGTAATAAATGAAGATGATATAAA